CGTTGAAGCAAGCCACGTCCACAGTATAGGGACGACCGAATGCATGTTTTTCATGATCACTCAACGAGACATAAGCACGGCCGAAACTACCATCTCTGGCGATGAGGGTTCTCAGCTTGTCCCAGACTGCAGCGTTAGGATCCTTGCTCTTTTGCTGTTGCTGTGAAGCCAGCTGCTGCTTCATTTCCATCTCCTTGCGCTTGCGGGGAGAAGCGAAGACACGGCTAAAGGTGGAAGCCTTTTGCCGGGCTGGGGTTGCCGCCGGCGCAGATTCTTCGGTACGGAACTTGTCCTCGTCCGCCTTCATCTGCAAGGTGAGCTGGAATTCCAAATCATTATGCACAATGAGCTCAAACTCTTGTCCAATTGGTGCTGACTTCCCTAGCTCCAGCCAGGCAGTTGTCACGCAGTGAATGCCGTTGTCCAGCGTGAGGGAGAAGTGCGACCGCTCGCCTATTCAAAAGATGAGCAAGAAGAATTTTCTGGGCTGAAAGTGGGTGGACTTACCACGTGGAAGGGGAAGGTCTAGGGATTTCATTCCTACCACCTTGACAAAGAGACGACCTCGCTCCTCACCTTCTTCGAGGACGCCGCTCAAGGCAGGCTCGGTCTCCTCAATGGTGGCGGGGGCATCCTGGACGTTGCTCTGTTGACAGGGGAGAGGAGGGGCGGGACCGGACACGGGCTTCTTCCGGATCGCGCCTGAGGTCGTTCTGATGCTAGAGCGACGAGGACCACTGTTCCAAGGGACAGTAGTCCAAGTCTGCTGGCTAGGCTTACGTTGGGCGGGTCCGGCCGATCGGGGGTTGCGAGCGTCAGTGGGTGCTTGGCCCGGGGTTTGGGGTACTCCGTCGTCGTTGCTGCTACTAGCGATGACAACCTTCGTGTTGTGTCTCGTCAGGTAGCCCTTCTGTTTGGGTACATGCCTGTTAGCATTTTGTTCGTTGTGATGGGTAAGGGCATCCTGGGGTCCAATGGGCACACGACTGTATAACTGGGAAAGGGACAGTTCAAACGCAACCTTTTGGGTTTCGATGACACGATCGAATTCTTTGTCCAGGCCGAAGCCAAGACTTTCCTCCTGAATGCTGAAAGGGATATCCAGCTTCATGAGGCTGCTCTGTCGCTGGGCAACATCAACACCGAGCTGGGGGGGTGACGGGTCCTCGGGTTGGCTATCTTCAGAGGCTTGCTCGGGCTCTTGCTCATTGGACAACTGCTTGTGAAGGGAGGGAACGGGCGGGGGACCCTGGCCACTGACTTGGCGTCTAGTGGCGGCCATCGTTTGCAGATCCAACGGGGTCAACGAGGGCCTCGTTTTCAGGCCGGCCCCGTGGGCTTTCACCGTGGCAATAGGGGGGGGGACATCATCATCTACAGAGATCTCACTGTCGCTAATATCGTCCTCTACCGAGTGACGAATGACCGAGTCCGGGGAAGATGGCGCCGACACAGGGCTATCAATCTCGGGAGTAGCCGGGCGCTGGAGTGATGTTCTGAGAGGTTCCATTTGCGGAGGGGATTGTTTGTGAGCTTGGGACTCCTGTTGGGTCTTCTCCGAGATATTATGGGTGAGCTCTTGTTTAGCTTGGTCCGCGGGAATCGGCGTGGTCTGCCCCTCATCCGGTGGAGACTCGGCATGTTTCTCCGCATCCGCCGCTAAGGAGTGGCTGGAATAGTGGCTCTGATCGTCGCTCCTATCTGGCAGGCTCTTGAATGACAGGTCTTTTGGAGGCATGATCCCATCGTATTCAGGTACGTCGTAAAGGTCATCGTCATGTTCCTCGTGCTTGATCACCACACTGCCTGTGTCATCATCGGTGTCGTCGTCATCATCATACATGTCATCGTGTTCCAATGATGGAATTGGGTAATCGGGATCATAGGCCATCGGACGAGGGCTAGATCCCGGTTGGGAAGAATCCTCGTAAGAGTCGTCCATGTAGCTTTCGCTCTTACGCAGGTCTCTCAGGATCGAGTCTCTGGAAATATGAGGGGCCGAGAAACCCTCCGTATGGTCTTGCGGGCCCTTGATCGCCAAACTCTCTTCCTGAGACTTCTCCTTGGGGGTTTCGACATCGCCGCTCTCCTCATCTTCCATTGGGCGCGGATGAGGTTCTTCGGTGCGGGTCCGGTCCGAGTCAACGCTTGCGCGCTCCTTCTCCTGAATCATCATCAGACGCAGTCTCTCCTCCAAAGGCATCGAGGCGTGATTGCGTCCCGTGATATCAGACTTGGTGTAAGATGCTGCTGCAGGTGGGGATGGCAGCACCCGCTGAGCCCCAGTGCCTCGCTCAAAGGCGGCAGTTAGCTTTCCCGGGGAAGTGGGTCGCTGAGTGGCCGGCTGGGGGGTCCCGTTCGGGAGCGGGGGAAGCGGACGCCGTTCCCCGTTGGAGTCCAATGACTCAACGCGGGAGTGACGCCTCGACAACCCTTGAGCAGCCGATGGACGAGGATTGGGGCTGTGGTTTTCTTCGTCTTCAGTGAAAGGGTCCTCCTCTTCCTTGACGAGGGCCTCGTTGGCATTCGAGGGGCTCATGTAGCGCCAATCTTCAGGCAAAACGACCGGGGTCTTCTCGAGGTCCTCCAAAGAAGCATCAAAGCTATCATCACGATCAAAGGACGAGTCACGGTCGAAGCTCATATCTCCTTCGTCGTCCTCGGTGTCGTAGCTGCCATCGCGAGAATCCGACGCAACGGAGGACGGATCCGGGGTGGTCATCACATACTCGTTCACCTGCGGCGGGGCCGCGTCAAAGGTGACGCTCTTCGGGTGGCGATCGAGATCGGACCAGATCTCGCTCTCCGGATCGAATCCCCAATCCTTGGCTCCGAAACGGCTTGCCCGCGACAAGGAAGATTTGGCCGGAGCCGATTGATCCTTGCTGGGAGAAGGCGGCCGCGGCCCGACCAGGGTATCATCCTGAGTATTGGGGTTTTCCAGCGATGCACCCGTCTGGGACTGCCGCTCCGGGGACCGTCTTGGAGCTAGGGGCCGTTGTGGGACGTACACAGTGGCCGGATCGTACTCTTGCTTGTAGTCACGCAGCATGTTGCTGTTGCGCACCCGCGACTGGCGCTTCAGGTTTTCGAGCGATGCGCGTCTAGAAGGCGAAAAGGTGGAATCCGGGTCATAAGGGGCTTGGTTTTCCGAACTCTTTTGGAACGGTGACCCAGATTCACGACCTTTCCAAAATAGTCGGGGCGACGCCGGAGCATCGTGGGGGGATGGCTCGTGCTTGATCGCCTGTCCGTAGTGGGTCAGTCTTCCGATCGATCGAACCTCTCCATGGGGCAGCGGGATCTGGATCACACTCACTTTATTACTTTGGTTCCAAATCGGCGAATTGCGTCTCTGCGCCATGGGGCTCACTTCGGAGAGTGGCCGTTGTCCAAGGCCGCTACCCATGTTCGTGGTAGGACTTTGTCCGATCAGAACGGATTTAGCTGAGCTGGGAGACACGAGGGAACAAGAGAAGGGAAGAAAGAAGAAAACAAGGCTGGAAGGAGTAAATCAATCAGCGACTCTTCATCCATCACAACAATCGCACGACAGTCAAGGATGTCCCTTGCATGAGGAACGCGACCATACCTGATTCTGATAAACAACAACAATGACTGTTGCGAGCAATTTTTTTTTTTTTTTTTAAGATTTGTTCTTTTCTTGTCTCACTTGGTTTTTCTTTGTCGTCCTTTCTCTGATTCAAAAAGAGAGTCCTGACGACAGCGATATCAGGGTGGTTAGAAGACGTCACTGATGGCTCCAGATAATCATGAAAATCATTCACAGGATCGTTGAGATGCGTCACAAAAGGTTAAAAATTCAACAAATCAAAAAGAACATCCAGAACAGCGATTGTCAATTCGTTAAGAGACACGTCGGATCGTGGCCTGCATGAAGAGGAGGGGAAGAAGATACTAGGGCGATCGGGGAACGGAGGGAAGGTATCATATATTGTAGATAAACAGAGAGACCGAGGCGCTTGCAACAACCACAATGACAAAGAAGACTCGTAAATTTCCAGCTGAAAGAGAAGGAAGAAGAACGTGTTGCAAAGAAAGCGAAGAAATAAAATCAAATAGAATAATAAAAAAGACACCGTCCAACAACGGGTTCGCCAACAAGGAACAAGGGGGGAGGGGGCGTAAATAAGAGGGGAAATACAAGCGAAGGTAGTAGAGCGAACACTGATAAAATGACTTTGTTAAGTACCTCCGATCAGATTCCTCGTTCTGGAGAAGAAATCAAGGAAACATCGACAGTGGGACTGGATGATGAAGCTGGGAAGTAAATGTTGACATCAACCAGGGCCAGTCGGGAGTCTCCATAGCAACCCATGGTTTCAGCTCGGCATTAGCGCCTGAGGCCTTGGGGTGGATGCGCTGGATGGCCTGGGGCTGTCGTCCGATCGCCTTAGGCTGCATGGGGTTTAGCGTGGGATCGCTGCCTGGGAAGAAGCCCGAGCGTCGTGATTGATTGTCAGGCACGGATATTATGTCCTGAAGTGTCTCCTACCTAGGGAAGTATTGAGGCAACAGAGGCCTTGTATTTAATGCTCTTTTTCGCGTCGATATGATTCCATTCCCCTGGAACTGCAGATGCGGTCTGTTTACATGCAATGTCCTCACTTTCTCTCCGAGATCATGCACACTGCTGCAGGGGCTGATTGCACCTCCGCGCCAAGGTCTCTAGGCAATCAATATATATATATCCCACCCGGACCCGTCACATCAGTCTAGCTCCATCGAGGTCGGAACGTGATATTATTAGGAATCTCCACCTGCTAACTTATCATGACATGGGAATCTTGGTCTACCCCTCAGATGTGAAACATTCACCGCTCAGTAGCCCAGGTAATCGATTCAACACCCTTGATGGCTCTCCATGCCAACAACACCCACTCCTGCTAAAAATACAGAGGAAATTCGCCGCCCATAGGCCACCCAATGCTGGAGTCAGTGTACAGAGTGCGCAAAGGGGATTTGGAAAAGAAATATTGAAAAAAAAAAAAAAAAAAAAAAAAGAAAATAGAAAGACAGAAGTGGGAAATCAACCAGGGAGTCCGTGTACACAATAACGCCAGAAAGACTAGACATTATAAACCCGTCGATTGTAGATCACACAAGTGATGTCCAGAGAAGATACCAAACCAGAACGCCAGTCGCACCCAGGGGAATAAGAACACCGCACCCAACATTCAGCATTACATAGGAACCGGGGTCTCAGCTACCCGTCGTCATTATTACATGGTCATCCGCAGGGCGCGCGTCCGCGTGCGGCTCGCTCTCGTGTTTCCCCGGTCGGCAGACGCCTCACCGTCGTCCGTTTCGACGCGCGCGTCAGAGAGCTCCGGGGTGGGGGTGACGCCGAAGCTGACGCCGCGGTCCTTGCGCGAGACGCGAGATTCCTCCTCGGGATACAGGAATCGATGCACCGTGCGATGGTCCATCACGCGCTCCTCATCGTCGTTGTTGCCCTCGGGGTCGGTTTTGGGCCAGCGGAAGCCGTAGAGCATGGAGTGGCGCTCGCACCGGGGACATTCCCTCCGCGTCAGGTACGAGTTGTGCTGGACGAACCAGACATTGCACGTATGACAGTCAACCCATCGATCGTACGTTTGCGCGAGTAAGCGGGAGGTCTTGGTGTAGTCTCCGGGGACCCGAGTGCCGTGGGATTCCGCCTCCACCGAGGGAACAACTCCGTTTTTCCCGCGAGACTTTCTCCGGGGTGTTTCGACTCGATCGGTCACAGTGCCGAGCTTTTCATCCAGTTCAAGAGATTCGGAGAGTACGGACAAGACATCGTGGTCGTTGTGAGTGGATCCGGACAAGGCTGACACAGTTTGCTCCACCTGAATGGGGGGAATCGAAGGGTTTTCGTGGACGGTAGTTTCAATAGTCTCCTCTACCTTCGCAGTCACCCCACCATCGCACACTGAAGTTGGGGCAGTGGACGCCGACGAACGCTGAGAGTCGTCGGCCGTGACAGATGCGGGCGATTCACAGTCGGTCCCGTGGTGAGGTCGAGGGTTCTCGTCCTCTTTGGTCTCTGGTCCCGCAGGATCGCCCGCAGCCTCGGCAGCCTCGCTGGGCGCGGGTGGTGTCGGCCTTGGATGATCAACCGAGCTGAGGGAGTTCTCTTGGGCGATTTCGATAGAAGAATCGACTTCGGCCTGTGAGACCTCTGATCTTAACTTTGAAGTCTGGCGGACGAATGCACCTCGCTTGCGTGGAGTGGATGGAGACGTGTCGACATCAGAGTCGGGTGCCCGCTTCCGTTTTCTGGGAGTGAGAGAATCTTCGGCTGCGGCGGGGGTCGATGCTTGACTTGGTTGGTCCGAGTCCACCACTGGCGCCCACCCGTTGCGCACAGCCCGTTCGCATGACAGGCAGAGACATTCACAATTATCAATACCAAAGTAGTCCTCACCATAAGAAACAGTGATTTCTTCACCAATGTAGATATCGCGGGTGGCGACAACCTGCATGCCCTCCGAGCCCCGGGTCACCAGGCGACCGTTGGCATTACAGTCGTGGTTGGCGAAGCGGGCGGGACCGAGAAAGAAAGACGGTGTCTTCCGGCGACTCGACATGACGATGCTGAAGTCCTTTCGCTTGAGATCCAGTTCTTGTTCTTCTTCGCGGGTCATAGGCACGAGCGTTCCGCTGAGGTACTTGATCTCCTGGCCCTGTTTGATGAACCTGCGGGCGCAGATGGCGGCTTCGTGTTCGATGATCGTGTAGCGATTGGTAGTGGTGACCTCAAAGGGCGAGTCCGGTAGGTACATTTGGATGTATTTGCGTAGATGGCGGCGGAACCAGTCCTTCTCGCGATCGTTGGGCAACTTGGCCAGGTATCTCTTCAGCCCCGACATCGACAGCAGGGTACGCTCAGCCTTGGCGACGTCCTTTTCCACGATGATATCGTGAAGCAGGGTGTGAGCAACACTATCCTCGCTGACTCCACGAAGAGCGATGTATTTGGTCCGGTTCTTCCGAGTATTGGTCCAGAAATAAGCCTGCAATAACGAGAGTCAGAGAGAACCACATCGAGGGAGATTGGCACGGTTGGGCCTACTCGATCAACCAGCGCATCCGTTGCGACGTCGTCATAGCTGGCCAGTTTCGCCAGGGTGAGACGGTCGCGCCGGTCATCCGCGGGACTCGACCGCGCCTTTGACGACATGATATATTGCAAGATCAGACGATTCCCATTCAAAGGTGTTGCCTCCAATTGGGGCAGAGATAGCGTTGTCGAGAGGCGCCCAAACCCAGCGTCTAAGGGGAATGAAGCAAAAAAAGCGGGTAATGGTAAATTAACAGGAGGTCTCCACGACAGAAGATAATGAATGAACGAAAGCCCAAATTGTTCTTTCACAGGCAGAAAACAGACATCTTGGGAAAGGGAAGAAGAAAATAGAATAAGAAAATAAGGAAGGGTAAGAAGAAAAAGGAAAAGGAAGACACGACAGGTAGAGAAAGTGGTTGAGAAAGAGAGAGCAGCCCCCAATTTAGCGCGGGTGATATCCAAGCATCGTCCTCCGTAATTGTCGCAGTAACAAAATCGCAGTGACCGCCGTAGTGATGACTGGCGCCCAGTCCGGGGTCGGTCGTCGGCGAAACCTTCCGGCCCGGGTTCCTCGCTGGAAATCTTTCGGACATCAAATCACACGCTCCGCTCCGCTTCGTCTGCTCCCTCTCGCTGTCTTTATCCACCAGGGCCTGCTCACAAGATGATTCAATTAAAAGTGAGTGCTCTATTGGATTATGTGATTTTTTTAAAAGTGGTTTTTGCTGACATTTTCCTTAGTCGATGCTTAATTGCATCGACAACTCGGGCGCCGCAGTTGTCGAATGCGTGAATGTCCTGAAGAAGAAGCGGGCTGCCACTGTCGGTACGTCATCTTTTCCCCTCATCGCGCTTTCATTATTGCATTCTTTTGTTGGGCGCGATCTTTTCTAATGTGGTCTGGTTATTATTGCAGGCGACCGGATCGTGGTAGTGGTTCAGAAGCAACGAAATTTCGCCTCCGAGGGCGCCGGCGGCAGTATCAGCAACAAAGTCCGTCGCGGAGATATCCGACACGCGGTGATCGTCCGGGTTCGAAAGGAGATGCAGCGGCCAGATGGGTCGTCCGTGAAGTTCGATGACAATGCCTGTGTGTTGATCAACAAGTCTGGTGATCCGATCGGCACGAGAATGAACGGTCAGTCGTCGCGGCTTTTCCGCCCTCCAGATTGACAGGTGCAAGAGTACTGACATGAGGTTTACAGGGGTCGTGGCTACAGAACTACGGGACAAGCAGTGGTCCAAGATCTTGTCCTTGGCACCTTTGCATGTATAAAATATACCTTTGCAAGCGAATCGTTTTATTTCCTCATATAGCCTGTATCAATAGAAATTTCTGTTTTCCACGAACCGCTCCTCCAATATAAACACGAACAAAAGCACCAGAAAACTCCACGGATATGCTCGGAATGGAAAAATAAAACGGATAAAGGGTATCGGAAACACGGTAGACATGGCGGACAGCGCAGAAATCACACATAAACATTACCGCACGCACAGCACACATAGTAAAGTTTCTGCACAAACGTCAGTTCGATGGCCCTCATGCAACAAGAAGCGAAGAGTCTCACCATTCCCGTCTCGGCCGACCGCTGTTGGGACTGGAAGAAGACGGCCTCTGATTCGCCGCAGCTGGGGCAGGTCTTGTTGGATCGTGGGAGCTAAGAAACGCAGAAAAAAAGAGAGCAAAGTTAGCCACGGAGATCTCAAAGGCCTTTTGATGTCCATTCCATGGCGTAATCACCCCCTCCGGAATATGCAGAACAGCTGTCATAGTCATCCCCGAACAGGGAATCTTCCTCGGGCGATCCACAGGAGAAGCAGGTGATTTCTTCCCCGCAGTGGGTGCAAAAGCCTGGGAGACAAACCGTAGGATCAGATGCGACATCCTGAGTCACACCGGCGGTATCTCCAACCTGAGTGCTGAGTTTGTTCTGGTAAACGCAATAGGAGGAGGCAGGCTCGCCGACGTGGCACGTGCGACAGGTGAACATCAGGCGGTTATTGACGCGATCTTCCTTCGGGTACAGCAAGTTCGAGCTATGCAATATGTCAGCAAGGGAGTCAAGACAAGGACGAGGAATAAAATGAGGCGAGTGCTTACCATTCGCGACAGAAGCGAAAGTGAACCTGTTCGTTCTGCTTAACGTCGCCACCGGCGGACGGAGTTGGGCTTGCAGACATTTCGATGGTGATATGGATCGTTTGCGACGACGCTGGTAGTATTTGACTGAGATGAGATGATAGAGGAAGGTAATCGCTGTAATATTTGGCAATGTCCGGGTTATGAGCGAACAGGGAACTGCTAACAATAGAATGAAAGAATCAGTTGAACAATACAGACTTATCTTTTGATGATGGAAGTTGGAAAGAAACGCCCGCCAGGCCGCACTCCAGGCAGCCAAGACGCTAGTCCAGATCGGATCACTCTACGCTATACCCAATCGGGAACATAGTGTTGTGGTCATGGATTGACCGGCCGTCGTGGAGCGACATATCTAAAGACTCTCTACTGATGATGATTTCATATTATACATTCATCATTTGGGGGTTAAGGCTGACATTGTGCTTGTCTTCCCGAGGTTCTTTCTGCAGTACAAAGAAGACCTCAATATCAATAACCAAGAATAAGAGCAGCTTCCCAATATGTGCAGACGTGGATCTCTGATTAAAGATAGCAATATTGCTGCAAATATCAGCCGTATCACAAGGGTTCAATCTAAATGCAAGGACTGAGTGGTAGATTGCGGGCCCGAAATCTACCGGTGCTCCTTGCAGTACCATTTGCCCCTATCTCGGTCAAGTTTCAACTGCTATTGATACTTTGATGTCTGTGGCAAAAGACCAGAGTCCCTTGCTCACTGGACAGAAGGAAGTATGCGCCAGTGCCCGTAGTACCAGAAATAGGCGTTCGTGCCAGGGGGAAGAAGGCAGGACTCGTGTGGAAGACGGAGACTTCGAAGGCTAAAGAGGACAAGCATTCGTCTGTGGAGCACTGTTATATCGGACAGCATGCACACCCTGATGGCTCAGTGTGCGCCCTTGCGCAACGGTGTACGACATGGAAGCATTATCCTTCTATCGGCGGAAATTCGGCTGCTGCGATGAGGGCAATGTGTAGCTCTAGACTCGCTGGAAAGACCTGTCTCTCTGCATAAGATAAAGCGCGGTGTCTCCTTGTTAATGACAGGGTAGAGATTGGAGCAAGTCAAAACCAAGACTATCTCTTCTTTCTCCTTTCATCAATAGTCATAAAATTTTCACATGGACAAAATGCAGGAAGCGTACGAGTCCAAGTCAAGACCCGACTCTCCGGCAGCACTCGATTCACCCTCCAGCCAGGCGCCAGAGGGCCAGACGGATATCACGGAGTATCGACAGCAGCTCCACCGCAGATTTGGCTTGCTCCACGTTTGTGGATTGGCGCTGGCCAGCGGCAGTACCTGGGTACCATTTGGGGGCAGTCTCGTAAGTTAATTTGCCGATATAGTGTGTATACTGCTTTGTATGCCATGTATGTGAACATTTCCATTTGCAACGGTGATGGCTAAATCTGATTTCTTTTCCAGATAACAGCCATCTTTAATGGAGGACCTCCTGGCGTAATCTATGAGCTGTATGCGATGCGAATCCCACGGTAGACAACTCCAGATGCTGACAACTTCCTCGTTGTGATGATACAGGATAGCAAGTTCCTTTTTCTACTGGTTTATTGCTGCCTCACTTGCCGAACTGGCTTCATCCATGCCCTCGTCGGGTGGAGGTTGGTCTTATTATACCCTGTACAAATCAAGCATATGGATACTAAGACAAGTAGAAATCAGTGTACCACTGGGCGTCAATAACAGCAGGACGATATGGGCGACCGTGCGGCTGGTTCGCCGGATGGTGGAATTTCCTCGCATGGATCTTTGGAGCAGCATCAATGACACAGATCATCAGCACGCAGTCCATGTCGGCATATGCATTGTTTCACCCGGGCTTCCACATCGAGAGATGGCACATATTCGTCACGTACACCATATGCTCATGGTTTTGCTGTCTGACAGTGGCACTGGGCCACCGCGTGCTGCCGAAAATCGAGACATTGTCCGGATGCGTGGTAGTCGGGGGATTCCTGGTGACGGTCGTTGTGTGCGCAGTGATGCCATACGTCAATGGTCAACCGTATGCAGACAACGACTTCGTGTGGAGTAAGTGGCAGAACCATGTTGGCTACAGCAGCGATGGATTCGTCTTCTGTCTCGGGATGCTGAACGGTGCTTTCGCCGTCGGCGCCCCGGATGTCACTTCGCATATTGCTGAAGAGGTGCTTTATCCTAGCCGCAACGTCCCACTGGGCACCCTGATCCAATACATTATAGGCTTCACCACTGCGCTCTGCTATGCCATCGTTATCCTCTATGGCATCAGCGACCTAGACCAGGTTCTAGCTTCACCCCTCCCCTCTCCCTTGGCCGAGATATACCGTCAAACAACCGGCACCCGCGGCGGCGCTCTCAGTCTCCTCATTGTCTCCATAATTCCTACATTTGGCGTTGTCATCGGGTGCTATCTGATTTGTGGCCGCACACTATGGACTCTGGCTCGCGACAACGCCACCCCGTTCAGCCAAGTCATTCGTCGTGTCCACACCCGCCACCGGAATCCGATGATATCGACCCTCGTATGCGGCATGGTCTGCACTCTTCTCGGATGCATATACGTCGGCAACGATACTGCCTTCGGTGCCTTCGTCGGCAGCTACGTCGTCCTGACTACCCTCTCGTACCTTGCTGCCGTGATGCCGCATCTGCTCAGCGGTAGGTCAAACACGCCCCGCGGCTGGTTCTGGATGCGTGGCGCGCTGGGATACGTTGTCAATGGAATCGCTTGCGCATATACCGTGATCTTCATCGTCATCTTCTGCTTCCCATCTTCTGTCCCCGTTGACGCCAATTCGATGAACTATACGTGCCTGATCACGGGAGGATTGACCGCCTTCATTGCGGCGTTTTGGTTCTGGCGCCAGCGAGACTATGTTGGGCCCACGAATGTGTTGTTGGAGAGTGAGATGCTAGAACAGTCTGCAACATAGTGTATCTGGCGTTTTTTCCACGTTCAACTTTGGATTTGTATGTGGGATATGAGAGGTGATGATTGTTGGTTGAGGAATAGAATGTGATGATTGTCAGTGCACGGGGTAGGGCGGAAAGAAATACGAGTCTCAATCCATGAGATATAGAAAACCTTCACATCTCTCTAGTATGCACCCTCTTATTAGATGTAAATATTAAATAAAGATCAATACGGCATCTTGTATGAACAGCTTAGCTTGTTTGTCGTGTTGATCATGTTTGCAGTGTTTGCCATGGGATCTTCAATTCCCCGCAGTTGACCAAGTGAGGTCCGTGATCCCAACTTGCATGCATGGAAACTGAGCTGTTATATATCCTGCCGCGAACAATTGTATCTGACATCTAACCGTAATATCTTTATATTGCGGAAATTTGCCTTTCTCGTACCTAATCTCAGTTTCTTCTTGCACACAATCCGTCATCATGGTAAGTACCCACAAAGCCTTCAAACATACCCCTCCCCCAGAATTCTAACCTTGTTCAACGTGTTTCCAAATCTAGTCTGAAACAGGTCTTCCATCGGGCTGGGAGGTGCGACACTCCAACTCCAAGAACCTCCCTTACTACTTCAATCCCTCGACGAAAGAGTCCCGCTGGGAGCCTCCGTCCGGAACCGACACCGAGACCCTCAAGGTCTACATGGCGAAATACCACAGCGGCCCCGCCGGCCGTCCGGACGGACCGAACCAGGGCGAGGGAAAAATTCGGTGCAGTCACCTTCTGGTCAAGCATAAGGATAGCCGACGACCCAGCAGCTGGAGGGAGGCCAACATCACTCGGTCCAAGGAGGAAGCCATCGAGATCCTTCAGGGCCACGAGGAGCGCATCCAGTCGGGTGAAGTTACTCTGGGAGACATTGCCATGTCAGAGTCGGATTGCAGCAGTGCTCGGAAGCACGGTGATCTGTATGTCTTTCTTCATGTCTTCTGGCAAGATTTTCCTTCCCACGCAGGTCATTAACGGTTTATGTAGTGGTTTCTTCGGACGTGGTGAAATGCAGAAGGAATTCGAGGATGCGGCGTTTGCGCTGCAGCCGGGTCAGGTGAGCGGGATTGTTGATACTGCGTCGGGGGTTCATTTGATTGAGCGGTAAGTTTGACATCCTTATCTTTTGATGTTGGCATCTACTAATAATATGGTATGTGTGCAGTGTCCAATAAACGCAATACAGATACATGTAGTTGGTGTATTTGAAGTCAGGACATAAGAATAAAATCATCTCTACCACATAGCATTTCCCTTGACCTGCTCCCTAAATCCATGGTTCTGTCTTGTTCATATGAAGGTCTGGGGCAACGACAGTGACTGACTGACAAGCTGGTGATTCTAACACCGGTCCCACCCCAATAAGTTGCGCCAGTTGCTATATGAAGCAGTCCGGTCTCAGCAAGGTCTGCCCAGCACATGAGCCAGTGATAAACAAACCAGTCAGTTAAATCAAATCATGGTACATATAATCCTTACAGTGAAATGGTATAAAGGTAAAATGCCCCAGACTATTCACTGCAAGCCTTTCCCCCTCTTTGTTAATCATGAGCTTCATGTCTCCTACTTATTCATTCACTTGGAGGCAATTCCCTTCGTGTTTATCTACCAAGACGCTCTTTTGAAAGCATGGCAGACACTGTCCTTTGAATGCATTCTGAGCATGTTTACAATCCCCTGTCCATCTTTATGATACACATCTATCCACACTCACCTAACCTCCCAACCTCAAAACCCAATCTCAAAGTCCAACCTCAAAACCAACCCCAACCATGGCAATAGGCAAAACCTACATCTTCGACAGCACCAAGCTCGCCATCCCCATCCACCTCCGCACCGTCATAACCGGCGAACCAGCCGCAGCATTCAACCACTGCCGCCACGTCGCCTCGCGTGCCTTCCGCATGCTGAAGCGCATCGAACAGTGCTACGCGCACCGCTACACCGTGATGTGCTCCACAACCGACCGCAAGAAATACCGAGACCACGGCACCTCCATGGACCGCATCATGTTCTGGAAAGAGGACCACAAACCGCGCAACCCGACGCTCGCGCCGTCCGCGAAAATCCCCGCCGAGATCCTCGCCCTGTACCCCGACCGGCGCGTCTACGAGGAGTTCGTCCGCAGGTACAACCGCACGTTTGCGGACTTCATCAGGGGGCCGTACTGCCTGTGGAGGGAGTCTGTGAGGGCTGTGGACCGTGCTGTGGCGAGGTCTGGGCTCAGCGAGATGGATCAGCAGGAGTGGAAGCGGTGGTGGCAGAAGGCGTTTTTGGGGGAGATGTCGAAGTGGGAGGATGATGTTTATCGATTGGTTTTGCCGAAGTGGGAGGTTATTGTGGGTGAGGTTTGCAGGGCGATTAGGAGGCGGGTTGAGTATCCTGGGGCTTTGCTGGAGGAGTTTTGGGCTGCTGCGTGGCGTCCGCTGGAGGAGGATCGAGTGCGTTATGGGTCGTTTGTTTAGACGAGGAATGGGTTGATGGGTTTACGATTCATGACTAGGGTTTCTGGTGCGGACTTCTCGAGGGTTAGTCCTCTGAATGGAGCGTCTGGTTGGGTTGGAAACTTGATATGAAGGCAAATGCACAATGCTGGGAGCAAGGAGCTTGGGAAATGGTGTTTGATTCTGCGAATACTGGTTCATTTGCCATCTTTCCTAGGATTGCACATACTGGGTATTACTTTGAAGTACATAATGAAAATGATTTATTAGATTCCTGGTGCGTGTAATCTAAGAACTTTTAGTCCACGATAGCTATAGTATATACTTCAAGGTTCTATATTATATACAGAACGTGGGATTCGCTCCTAGGCGACCACGAAGCAAAGTGCTGCAACACCTCTAAGTAAAATACGCACACCATGCACCTCTCCATAATCAATCAACCAAACCCACCCGCCATTTGACCCTGGCAAATACAGGATGGTCATGCATCCTCCGGTCAAATTATGCTACATTCCCGCTTTTACCACGTGATTCGATAGCCCTAGCATCTGTCACCGTTGAACTCACATATCTGATACTGATATTGCCACAAGTACAAAGAATCGTGATCCTTATATTGTGTATTTCCTGTTTTATCGTAAAATAAGTCACATCTCTATACAAAGACATACTGAAAGCCAATACGCACGACTTGGTCAGCTTAGCTACATGTCCTTTACAAGGTCTGGAGGGCCATGAGTTGGAATAAAGCTTTGACGCGTGGAAAGTTTACAGATGCGTTCGTTGTAGTTTATCTTGTTCAGGACTGATAAGGCAATTTGTCGATATAAAAGCAAGACACAAAGACAACATTGCCGGGCTACTCCTTGTACCATCCGTGAATCCACCACAGACAAGCATCATTGTACAATAAACAAAGCTCACTACGTATCTAAGGTAATCCAATTAACATGGATTGAACCTTTGGTTCAAGCACTATATAAAAACGTAGAAAGTAGCCTAGATAAAAGGGTAAGAGAGACACCATGGCCTATATTCAAAACATCTCCCCTAACCCTATCCACCCCCTAGTCTCATATTCCACCTTGCATCTACGAGAAACCACCAAGAACCCAAACGTAACTTCCACACAACCGCAGCTATAATGTGTCTTTGCTGGATCGGCACATACCCATGCGGCTGCATGGAAGAAGGCCTCAAAGAACTCTGCGACAAGGCGCCCGACTGCGACGAAGGCGCGACCGCTGAGCGGAGAGAGTACCTGGACTTATGCGAAGAATGCCAAGGTAGGAAAGACGTGATCTCTAGACGAACAGACATTGTGCAGCGTTTAGACGGAGAGCAGGTTGGGGAGGTGGAGGTGGATCAGCCGAATACCCAAACTATCGGGCAGGTTGAGGCAGAGTTGGGCGAAAATTCGGGGGGCATGATGGACAGAACACGGACACGGCACAGACACCACCAAATTTTAAGGAGGACGTAGATGGAAAGTGGTTTTCCCTCTTGCCTGAGCGCTGTGATTTAACTAAGGGGCCGCGTCCGGTTAGGCGGCGGAGGGGAGAGGGATTTCCGAGGAGGGGAAGGACATATCCTGAGGATGAGGAGTGGATGTACTGATGTATGAAGTGGAAGGTGAAGTGCATGGAAGAATATGTTGTTTTTTGATCTATTGTAAGGTACTTTGGCAGTTTTGTATCTTCAATGAAAAAAGTAAGATTGGTATCGATGCATCTCTAAATTAAATGCGCGTTGAAGACAACTCCATGATCAAGTATTTCTCCAGTCCGATATCAAAGTAGTAACCCACTTTTTCACCTGTTCGTATACTTGGCATTCAATGACATGGCTTCTACATTGCAAACCGAGCAGATTCATGCTTATAAACTTGTGGTAAGTCGGTCCAGACGTGATGTGATTGCGTCGATGACGGCAGACCTGTGTTTGAAGGTTAGTTTAGTTACTATCCTGTGAGAACCCAACGCTAGGATTCAAACTTACTCTCGTTCAACCATCTTCATCGCATCTGCGATCCTCGCGCGTTGAAGTCTGTGAGGTACTCTTGGCTGTGCGCTCGATGGAGACGCGGGGCTGCCGGGTTCAGCGGGCACAGGGGACTTCACTGCAACAGATTTCGCCTCGGACAGGAGTTCTGATGCAATTTCCTTGGCCTAAAAAGTAGAGGTTAGTGTTGTTGCATATTTCATCAGAAAAAGTGTGACGTACCGCATCCAGACGCTGGGATAATTGCTGAATATTCTCCTGGCTATCCTGCTTGGGATTCTCGAATGATCCGGAGAGCATGTCCACCTCAGATGCCCAAGATTTCTCTCTCTCACTAAGTGGGCGCCCGCCCGACTTCAGGACCTTGTTCCGTAATTTCTCATATCGCTGGACAAGTTGAGTTTGTCTGTCCTTCGCACCTTGCAGTCTGTTCTCCAAGGCCTCACCGCTTCTGGATCCTTCTTTGCGCTCACCGTCCTCACCAACCTCACTGGACACGTACCTGATCCGCTCGGCTACGTCGGAGAGCTGCTTGAGTTGATCTTGCAGTTCCCCTTGCAGCCGCTCACAGCGACGGAACAGATCGGAGGCAGCCCTTTCAAGGGCGTTGGTGTGAGAGGACAATGTCCGATGTGCTGCTGCGACCAGATCCAGTGTTGCCGGAGACAAGCGAACTTGCTCCCTAAGACTTTGGCGCTGACGATGTGGGACGTGCTTGTCGACAAAGAATTCTAGCGGCGAGTCTGCATAGAAAATGGAAGGAACCTGATAAGGAGGTCTTCGCGGCGGAGGCATCGCGGAGCCAAGTTCGTGGGAATCGGAGTCGATCCGTAAGTTGGCCATTTCCGGGAATGTGATCTCCGGCGAATCCATGATAGCAGCATATGGATGGCTGGCGTGGGAGGTCAACAGTAGATAGCCAATATCGTAATCATAATAGACCAGACAAGATGACAAGTTGAGTGGCTGCTCTTGCGACACAGCGGCCCCCTCGTCCATTTGGATCAGCCGCTCACGGATAGAGACCGAGCCTTCGCAGAGCACTTCCAGGCGGAATCCAGAGCCGGCAGGGTCGTCTGCCTGGAGCTCGGCTTCAAGTCGTTGCACCCACGAAGACAGCGAGATGGAAGTGACATTATCGAAGTTCGTGACAAAAAAGCTGTAGGGCGAAAAGACATCCTTGGTGAATGTTGGCCAATTGTTCAATGACGTGTGCTCTCCCTTCAGAGTGTCCAGCGACTCGACCAAGACGAGATCAGAAGGTTCCGACACCGGGGTCCTAAATGCATTCTTCTTCGCCTTAGGTAGCCATTGGCCTTCAACTCCATCGAGCTCGAGGCAGACATGGACCCTGCCGCTGCCGGCCGAGAGGCAAATAACAGTGGCCGACAGCTTGTCTTCCCCATTATCCTCCAGGATAAGTTCATCTTCCTCGCCCATCATGAGAGCATCGGTATCGATCTTGGAAGCGACCACGACGATATCACAAAGATCCAAATCATCGAGCTCATCACCAGTGTCCACCCGGAAAGGTCCCTGCAATCTGGGGATGGCACTTGGATTAGCGGGACGGGTCAAGATTTCCGACCCGGAGTCCGCGTCAAGATCAACCAACAGGGGCTCCTGGTTGTCGATCTCAGCTAACCAATCGTATTGTTGGCGACATGCGGTCAACTGGTCTTCCATATCAACGGGATCCTCCTGCAAAGCTGCCAGTTTTGGGATGATAGCCGCAGAAAGCGAAGGGATGGTAGTGGCGGGGGCGCGCCACTTCGAAGGCAGCAACGGTGATAGGACGTAAAGATCGCCAGGTCGCATGGCCACCCATAAGGTCATGGGTGCCCAGGCATCCTCTTTCCCGCTACCCGTACCCCCAAAGCAAGCAGATGCAACTTCCATGTCGACAAAGTCCGCGGAAAATCCCTTGCTCTTTCCAAAGCCCGAGGGCGTAAAGTCCTGATCCGACGACGTGCCATCCACTAGCTTCCGCAGATCGATGGCCAAGGTAGGACGGTCAAAAGACCAATGATTATTGCGATCCAGCTCCCAAACTCGCACCGCAGCATCTGCGGTCACGGTGACAAAACATCCAGCGAGGTTGGTGTGTATTCCAAGAGGATGCCACAATGCCGACATCACCGGGGATTCGGGAATTACATGCGTTGTAGGGCCCAGCTGGTAGGTTTTGATTCGGATGGGAGACTGGTCGGTCGTCGATAAGTGCGAAGAGTCAGGAAGAACCGCGATGAAGACCGTATGGTCCGCGACAATGGCCAGAAATGCGCCGTTCGGAGAGGGAATGAGTTGACGAATTCGCTCGTACACCGGGACAACCAAAACCTAAACAAATAGAGCGTCAGCCAGGTGAGTTACCAACGATACAGGTTGCGCCATAAACCTTCCATACCCTATAGCTTCCATCCTGCGTATTGGGTCCATTCTGGCCTGCAGAGCCGTTGGCCGACCTCTTCTCCTGCTGCCATTCGTCTTTCAACCGCGTGAGGCTGGACCAACGGATCTGGTTGTCTACCACCGTAAACACCTCATTCCCCCTCTGTGCGAGAACCCGTGTCGGGCCAGTATAGTCGTCATTTTGGCGTAAGCTTTGCGAAGATTTGTCGAGGCCCTTCGAAGCCGTGCTCGAGAAGAGGGAAGCGCCGGGAGAAGGGCGCGATAGCCAGGGAGGCGTGTAGCTGATCACCTTCGGCATTATCGGGTACGGGTTGTCTTGACTAGGTCAGACTCCCATGCGCTGTATTCGACCGATTATTGCGACCGAAGGGTAAGAGGTCGAGGAAGAACGAGAGGGGTGGGTAGAAAGAAAGGAAACCATTATTTAATGCTCGGGCGGGAAACCTTTTAGTTTGCTGCTTGAGCAACGGAGGCGGCGTGCCAAGACCGGCGCAAGTTCCCTTTCCCAGCACCAGCTCCTGCGTCAGCTACTTTGTCTACGCTTCCATTTTTGATCTCCCTCGTTCATCTACACACACCCTCCTGCAGAATCAGAGGGCAGCACACGAAAATGGCCATTTCAGAACGGAACACCGTCGATAGATTAGATCGACCCAGTGCCTACTACATTAGCAAGGTACTTTCACCTCTGGCGTTTGGTTTGAGGTAGACGAAACTAATAGAGCTTCAATGTGTAGAACAAACGACGCAAGTACAGCCAAGACGAGGAACCACCGAAAGAAGAAGCACCGGATCCATTGAGGAATGCGACCACGCTCTACGTCGGCAACCTGTGCGATATCCATGCCTTCGAATTTGTCACCTCGAGCTTCTGCTGACCCTCGGATAGCTCCTTTTACACCACAGAAGAACAAATCCACGAACTCTTCTCGAAGTCAGAAACACGCCTACCACTCCCATACCGAAAAGCGAACTGACGGTTAAATTTAGATGCGGTGAGATCAAACGCCTGGTGATGGGTCTGGATCGGTTCAACAAGACCCCCTGCGGGTTTTGTTTCGTCGAGTACTACACCCATCAGGATGCTTTGGACTGCTTGAAATACATCGGGGGAACCAAATTGGATGAGAGAATCATCCGAACAGATCTCGACCCCGGGTTCGAGGAGGGCCGACAATACGGGTATGTCTTCCTTTATATCGCATCCTTTCCTTACGGCTAGTTCTGACCAGCACCAGTCGGGGTAAATCCGGTGGACAGGTTCGCGATGAGTACCGAGAGGAGTATGACCCGGGTCGTGGTGGTTACGGACGAGCATATGACGCGCAACGAGAGCGTGAAGAGGAAGAGTACGGTGCCGGTAAGTGATTCAAGCGGGAGGAAACAAGAAAGACTTGGATTGGCGCATGTATGGCGTTTGTACAAATTATATTGGGTGAGCATGTACGTCACCAGATGGAATTTCATGTTTAATATCTAGTATCCATCATTCAACGATAGGAAGACAAAAACGAACAAAAGGATTTCTAGGTTCATCTCTAAATGAGCAAATTTAGTTCTGTTCTATCTCACGTCTCCTATGCAGCGAACTCTGAACCTGCCGCAACCACCAAGCATGTATTCTAGCATCGTTGGTCAACTCGGGGTGGAAGCTCGTCCCAAAGACATTCCCCTGCTGGACAGCAATGATATCACCAGTTTCACGGTCTGCATCGATGTTTCTTCCCTCACTCGCCAGTTTGGCAGCCCTTCCAGGTAGCGTCGCCAGTACTTCCACATCGTCTGCCATTGCATCCTGCGCAGCGTGGCCCTCGGGGCTCTTCGCCGGCGCGACCACGGTATCATCCTTCTGCAACTCATCAACCTGGACACCTTTCTGGTGTGGCAGAATCTTCTCCACAACGGGAGCTCTGATGAAGACGGCGGGGAACGGGTCCGACTGTCCAGCAGCGCCGAGGAACGGTAGATCCAACGGCGCCTGGAAGCTCTCGGCCTGTCGACCGAAATGGTTCCTATTGACCCGCACATCAAGACCCCCAATCAAATCCTGGCCTCCTTTCTTCGTCCGGTTGGCCGATTCGGCGAGCAGAATTAGACCGGCGCATGTACCCCAAGCCGGCTTGCGGTGGACCCTACACGGGAAAGAGACGGTCAGACCGAAAAAGAACATCACAACACCGGAGAACAGGAAACCTACTTGACAAAGTCCCGCAACGGCTCCAGTATGTTCGACCGGGCAGCGACAAGGGACATGGTAGTGCTTTCGCCCCCAGGAAGAACCAGCGCATCGCAACGCTCAAGCTCTTGCGGCGTGCGCACTTCAATAACCTCCCATTGCGACGCGGGGCTGCCTGCCTCGGGGGCTAGATCGGCGGTAGCCTTTTTCAATAATTGGACATGTTCGTAGAATGCGCCTTGTAAGGCCAGAACGCCGACAGTGATTTTGCTCATTGCCTCATGATACAACTTCTTTCAACTGAGTCACAACAGCCGATCGCCATCCTTATAGATACTCTCGAAATCATTATATAAGCAACCCGCCACTATCAGCACGTGCTGCCCCGCGTTGCTGACCGATAAGGCTTGCCTGATGAGGCAACCAGGCTGACATGGAAATAAATGTTGACAATTGCAGTGATCGATCAGATCAACACCGTCAGCAACACCGTGGCTGCTATAGACAATTCTCAACAATAAGCGAGTCAATTCTCATGATAAGCATGTTCTTATGACAGCAGTGATCCCTTTTTCAGCAGTGATTTTACCAACAAACAACAGCCACTCCTCTATAGACACGCCTTTTGACCTATCAACACCATATATCCAGCAACAATGGGATCAGAAAGCGACTCACAATCGCTGCTACGATGGTACATTGACACCCGACCATTGACAGCGAGTACGACCACCCTACCGTTACTCGACACGCTGCAACCCAGCGACCAAGAAACAGTCAAGAAATACTACCACCTAAAGGACAAACACATGTCCCTCGCCTCCTACCTCCTCAAATACCTCTTCATCCACCGCACCTGTCGCATCCCATGGGACAAAATCACCATCAGCAGGACACCACCTCCACACCACCGACCATGCTTCATTCCCTCCCTCGCTCTAACGACCGACAACCCTAAGGGGCTCCCAACCATCGAATTTAACGTCAGCCACCAAGCATCCCTCATTGCTCTCGCAGGCACAACCACCCCAGCCTCTTCCCCAAACCCCACAGCATCCAGCTCCCCAAACCCCTCCACAACCCCCACCCCATCCACCCCCCAACTCGGAATCGACATAACCTGCGTCAACGAACGCCGCAGCACCGACACCACCCAACAAACGCGCCCCGCCCTCGAAGAATTCGTCGACATCTTCTCCGAAGTCTTCTCCCAGCGCGAGCTCCAAACCATCAAAAACGCAGCGGCGCCAACCCCAGGCCGCTCCGAGTCCGACGCAGTCGCCTACGCCTTCCGCCTCTTCTACACCTACTGGGCCCTAAAAGAAGCATACATCAAAATGACAGGCGAGGCGCTACTAGCACCCTGGCTGCGCGAGCTGGAGTTCCTGGACGTTGTTGCGCCGGATCCTCCTGCGGCTGGTGGAGGCGGAGCGAGCTCATTGGAGTGCGGGGTCCCTTATACGGGGGTGCGGACGTTGCTTTATGGGCAGAGGGTGGCTGATGTGAGGATTGAGGTTGTTGCGCTGGGAGAGGATTATCTCATTGCGACTGCTGCTAGGGGTGGGCGTGTTGGTTCTTCTTCGGGTGGGGTGAAACCGGATGTGTGGTTGGGTTTGAAGCCGGTTGATATTGAGGGGGATGTAGGGCCTTGTGCGAGGGGGTTGTGTCGATGTTTGGAGTAGAGGGTTGTTATCTATCTATCTACATTACTTTGACTTGTTGACTGAATTGTATTACATTCCCGAAATCATTTCATAGCAAAACAAACAAACAAACAAAGGATATCGTCTATCGTCGATCGATTCGTGTCCAACTAGCTGTTTTCCCCAATGGGGAAGCAGTCGAGGGATCATGGATCGTGTCTATGGGGTTTTCCCATCTTCCGCACGCACGGCGCGCCAGTGTGTAAACTCTAGCTAGGTGTTGACAGGTACAGGAGTTTGTTGAGAGAACGCAAAAATCATGCTAACAGAGTGTTCAAGCAATTATGTGTTGAGTGTTTTCACACTCACACAAATCCTCCCGCGTGGGATGGTGTCGTGCGGGTCCGTGGTTCAGTCGATGGGGGCAACCATCTATAGTTGTCAGGGGAAATAAAATATATATGCTTGCCGAAGCACATCGAGCGTATTTGTAAAGGGATAGTGTAGGTGATTGAATCTATCGTGGCGTGTCTTGTGCGTCGTTAAATGTATGTTGTTCCGTGCCGGTGACCATGGCAAGCCCAGGTCGGTTAGGAGTAGGAGCCGGGTAAGGCGAGGTTTGAAACGGTCAAAGAAGCACGTAGCTAGCCGATCCGAACCGCTGCCTCTTATCAAACTGCAACGGGTGCAATTAGATTTCCACAGCCGTGGAGGTGCCATTGGCACGTGCCGTATCAGCCTCGGCTGCGTTGCCGTTGGACATCTCCAGCAAAGTCTTGAGCATCGATTCCCGCGTCGACGTGGTGAGTTTATCCACGTCGGCGGCGGTCAAGCCCTCGGTGGGGATGGGAGGAAGGACTAGAAGTCGGTTTAGTCTAATGCGCGCAATATAAGTAGGGACGATAGAAGAGCATACCCTTGATCTTGATCGTGCCGGCTTCGAATCTCATATTGCGAGGGGACAACACGTGGGAGTAGTTCTCCGTAACCACCGGAACAACAGGCACACCGGCCTTGACGGCGAGATGGAAAGCACCCTTCTTGAACGGCAGCAGCTCCGGCTGATCGGAGTAGCTCCTCGTACCCTCGGCAAAGATAAAGACGCTCTGGCGCTGGGTGCGCATCTCTTCCGCAGCAGAGTCGAAGGCCTTGACAGCGGTCTCGCGATTGGCGCGATCGATGAAGACCGTCCGCGAGAGAGACATGAACCAGCCGAGGAAAGGGATATTGCGGAGAGACTTCTTGGCCGTGACACTGCAGTAGGGCGGGAAGATGTATCCCAGCACCAGCACGTCCAACTCCGACTGGTGGTTTCCGATGAACACGGCCGGACGGGTGGTCAGATGCTCCTTGCCCTCCACAATCTCGCACTGCACGCCAGTGGTAATCCGCATAACCCACTTGAAGCTGCGCGCGGCGGCCCATTGTGAAACCCGTCCGTAGCCCACCAGGCGCAGGACGATCGACGCGATCACGCCATACGTGGCACACAGGAGAAGAGAGGCGTACGACGCGAGACACCGAGCAGCGAAGGCTGCGCGAGGAACTTTTTGACCGAGCGCGAAGAGGGAGAGTGTCAGGACGACGAAGGAACTGATGCCCGAGGCGAGATAGGAGAGGAAGGACATGGCGGCGACGAGGACACGAAGCGAAAGTCGCCTAAACACACAGAATCTGGCGAATTTGCTGCCCACGGAGTTGTTTAGTAGGGGTCTCAGACTTTATTGACCTTATATCAGGCAACAAGAACGCCAGTAGGTTGGTTGGGGTTCTTACAGGGATCTCCAAAAAAAAGACCAAGAAGGATGATGAGGTCAGGCGAGAAAACTGGAGAAGGACTCGGGAGGCCGGTGGGTGGAGTGGGGTTTCACCGAGGATATATCGAGAACATGACAGAGCCACCAAATTCCAGTCGTACACAAGTGGTTTATGAGAATGAAGATCGCGAAGAACAACCACGACGTTCTGTCAAATAAAAGTGACCAAAGAATCGGGTGAGTCTCCGAAAAAAGCAGAGCAAACCATGGCAACTGTCGCATGCTTTTTTTTTCTAATCATTTTTCTTGGCCTCCTCCGAATGCCCGTTCACCGCCTTCACATCCTGGCCTTATAATGTCCAAGTATTATAGGCATATATATCTATACTCTCTTTACAGAACCATCCATAAATTATAATAAAGCTTGTTATGCCAAGGTTGATTGGTGGATGAATGCGCTTTTAGGAATGCCGGTAATAATAAGATCAAGTATGGGGTACCCAAGCTCGACAGACGGTGATATGTTCATGAGTCCGTCGTCCGCCCGAGTGTCATCATCGCTCATTCGCAAACCAACCATCGCTAATATACAAAACCAACCCAGCCTGGACACCGTCGCGAGTGTCTGATGCAGAGGAAACACCCCCCTCTAACCAACACTCCCTACCCGAACGCCTGTGGAATGCTTGCTGATGCTTGTGCAAATCGGTGTTGAGAAACAAAAGAACGCCGACCCTCATCCATCTACATCCTGAGATGGAGATAGGATAGGGAATCCGAGTAAGGACTGCGGGGAAAGAAAAACAATGAATAGCGGAGACAAAAGGAGCCCGCGGGGAGGAAAGTCATCACAGTTATGCCATGTCTTCGTCGTCTTCGTCGTCCTCGTCGAGGGACTCCATGGCGTCCTTGATGTACTGTGCGGCCTGCAGCATAAAGGTCAGTAAAGTCCCTGCGAATACCGTGGAGATAGTTACATACCTTAGGGTCCAGATTCAGGGCCGTCGTGAAATGCTTGATCGCATTGCCCTTGTCATGCAGCATCTTGTAGAGTTTACCCAAAAGGTAATGCACATTGGCCTCATCGGGCGCCATATCCTTGAGGATCTTGAGCTCGGCCAAGGCCAGTTTGAGCTCTTGGAGTTTCATCAACGCACGAGCCTTGCGGAACCGTGCAAGCACCGAGTGAGGTGCCAAAGTGCACGCACGGCTGTATTGCACAAGAGCCGTTTTCGGGTTGTTCATCTTTTCAAGCACCAGCCCAATGCAGCAGATCAGGACGGCGTTGGTGGGATTGATACTGGCTGCGTTTCGGAAGTGCTGCTCTGCAAATTCGAGCTTACCCATCTTGTCATAGACTGTACCCAGCCCATACCAGGCGTTATAATGGCGGCTATCTGCACTGATCCCGTGTCGGTACGCATCCAAAGCCTTATCGTACTCCTCGTTGGCGACGAACTCATGACCTTGCAAGGTGAACCCGTAAGCGAAGTGGGGATCCAACTGCGTAGTCCGCTTGAAGCACTTCAGGGCTTGGTCATGGTCGCGTTGGTGGGAAAAGGAATTCCCGACAGCACACCAGGCCTGAGGAGAGAGGCGGTCGACTTCCATCAACTCGTGAGCGAGATATGCGAGCTCCACATCGTTCTTCAGGTGCCAAAGTACCGTCGAATAAACCTCCATGTCATCAAGTCTTGATGGAGCCATGGTCCGAACCCGGACAAAGTATTTTTCGGCCTCGGAATACATCGCTTGCTCGTAGTACGCGCGTCCAATTTGCGACAGAACCCAGGGAGTCTCTCGCTGGCCCTGCGAGAGGCCATTGAATATCTGGATTGCATCCTGGCACTTATACCGGCTTAGGGCAAAATATCCGGAGGCAAGTTTGGAGAATAGATCTAGTAGCCAGGCCAAAGCCTCCACGGATTTGGACTTCTCAGCCCCACTGCTCCGCAAACTAGGGTTCGTCGAAGACATAGTTCGGTAGTCCCTGCCATCGCTATCGAGTATCTCGTTAGGAATTTTCCGGCCGCCGCTCACAACACGACCGCTATGAGTGCTTGTTGCGGTGCGACTCTTGGCACCCGTAGGTCTCACTCTTTTCAGCTCCCGGCCATCCTTCGTGGTAAGGGTAGTGCTCGACAGTTTGCTTGTTGTTGGTTTGATCTGATTGAACAACCGCACGCTCCGGCGCTGTGGTGCCCCTGGTTCTGTGGGTTGTTGTGGTGTTTGATGTGCGACTTGGCCTGAGACCGTCCGTTTGCGATCTCCGATCTTGCTCATAGCTTCTCTATCCGACTGTGGGGCGCCGTGTTCCTCTTGTTCGGCTCTTGTCCGGGCTCTTTGCCGAATACCGGTGGGCTTCATTTTCGGTGGCGGGTCCATCCCATGGTCGGTACCGATTGTCTGGATTGTCCGATTCTTCCGTGCAGGGGCTAATGGAGGATCCCACGCGGGCTCGGGAGCGGCTGTTCCATTCACGCCGCGAAGCTCATCGGGATCACTGCTTTGACCTCCAGGGGTCTCCGTCCCTTCTCGAGCAACGGGTACCGATGCACCCGTGGACGCAACGCTGACAGTGCTGCCGTTGAATTTCTCCCATAGGGCTGAGCTACCATGGGTGGTAGCCGAGTCACTCCGGGATGTCGCAGAAAGAAAGGGATCGGAATTAGAATTCGTATTGGCCTGGGACTGGAGGGGTCTGCCTGTTGTCGACATTGACTTGTCGGCGGCAGGGTCGACATCCTCTTGCGAGGCGGGGGACAAATTCGAGAGCAATTCAGAGTTCATTTTGTAGATATTCGGGACGCGAACGTTGACCCCTGGAAGTACTAGTCAGCGGCTGGAGCAAGCTACCTTCCTCATGTTGAACCAAAACCTACCTGTTTCGCAGAGACCCTGGAATGCATCCCACATGAAGGGATTCAATTTTAGAGCCTCGACGTAGCATTCTACAGCCTTGGTGACATCTTTGTGTGCGTGCCATAATTTCCCTTGTAGGCACATGACGGCCGCGGCATCCGGCAAGTGTTGTCTGCGTGTTTCGCTGTGTTTGTCTGAAGTGTCCAAGAGTGATTAGCACTGGTTCATTGTGCCAGATAACCGCGCTTCTTTCTCCCCTTTCTTTCTCTTTTGATTAGGCTGACGAGACCGGGCGGGAATCGCTTACTCCAGTGATTCTTTGAGGCCCACAGGCCTTTACTTCGCTCCAAAGCCGTGATGCCGTCTAGGTATTTCCCCAAGTCCAAACATGCTTGAGCATAGACATATGCACAACCCAGGTGTGTCCCTCTCGACCCAAAGTTGCGACTGTAGTCCCACGCAGCTTTCACTTGACCATTTTGAAGGTAGCAGAAGGCGAGTAGGTATGAGGCTTCCGACGTCCGGGGCTCGTAGGCGTGCAAACGACCAGCGAGGAAGAGCGCGTTCCGTACCAGGTTGTTATCCAAGTGGTAGTAAATCAACTGTCGTAGCTGGCTAGATATATGGGAAGTGGATGGCGACATGTTGAGGCGAGTCGCGCTTGGCGGAGGCACAACCGATTATACGCGGAGGTTGTGGCAGATGCGGGCGTGTCGGTGTCGGCGATGGCGAGGACGGAGAGAGATCGGGGAATCCGGAGAACTAGCGTAGTGTAAGGCGAGGGCCATTCAACACGTCCAAAATAGTCGACGGATGCGAGCCCAGAGGGAGTGTGTTGTTGTTTTCGTTTCCCGTGGCGCAGTCAGACCACGGTGAGGAAACAATGATGCGATCTTCCTTGTTCCCTTCACACGTCAAAGAACCAAATGCCAAGGGAGGGATGTCGCGAACTGAGTCGGGTTTCCAGTTCCTCCCCCCCAATCCTAAGCTGCGAAGGAAGTGTTTCTCAGAAGGGAGGATGACTGAAGGGAATGACGTCCGGGAAGGATGCGAGGATGTGCTCGTGACGCCCCTGTGGGCCAAACGCAAAGAGCTCAGAAGAAAACAAGGTGCATAGCGAGATCGACGGGGGAATAGAGAACGTGAAGCTCGCCCGAGCTAAAGGAGCATGAGACCGAGCGATCAAAGATGCGACCGAGCGGCAAGGGAGTCGATCAACGATGCAGAAAGGTAAATGTTAGTTCAGGTCGTTATGGAGCGAACCGTTCATGAAGTGGTTGGCCGATGCAGAGACAGACAGACAGATCGGGGCGCGGGCGCTTGTCTGGTTGTGGTGGGCAACGCCATTCCCTAATCGGCCACTTCCACCTTACTGCCGTTCGGCTTCACTTCGCAAACGTCTATATCTGTCTACTTCCACCTGGCTTAGTCCTGATCGGATCAACGCATTTGTGAACCTGTTGATGTCAACAGAGATCTACGGGTTTTATTAGCCTTTTTTCATCGCCCCAATTGGGTCTTTAGCTGTTCTTCGCTCAATCCTTCCTTGATATTCGGTTCCCCCGATCAGAACACGTCCCCACCATGGCCCAGGTAAGGACTACTTCGTTCGACGATTGTTCCATAATCAATAAATGCGAACAGACTATTGACACCAACTTCTAGAAAGCAGCCAAATCCCTCGCAGCACGCAATGCCTCGCTCCTCGTCCGCACGCACATGATCACCGTCGGACTCCACTTCGTCTTCTTCCTCCTCCACTGGACATTCAACCGACCTCGCTCCCTCAAGCCATACTTCTTTCTCGCATTCCCAACCCTCCTCATCGAGGCCTACCTTGACCGCCTGGGCCGGCCTCGTCATGACCCAACCGACGGCTCTCTGCGCTCTCCGGGCGAGGACCTGGGAGCTGCGGGCCTGACGGAGTACATGTGGGATATTCTCTACTGGACGTGGGGGTGCATCGGCGCGGTGTGTCTCTTTGGCGACCGCGCCTGGTGGTTGTGGATTGTGGTGCCCCTCTACTCCGTCTGGTTGGCGTACACTACCGTTATGGGGATGAAGAGCGGCTTGGCTGGGATGGGCGGTGGCGGATCGGATGAGGGATCTGCTGTTGCTGCAGAGAGTAAGAGGCAGAAGAAGATGGAGAAGAGAGGTGGTCAGCGGATGTCGCATCGGTAGGATGGTCTTGTCCATTTTCCTTTTCGCCCCTGTGGCATTCTTCTAGTCTATATTTTATAGTATGTACTTTCTCTACCCAACGGCTAAAATGTACCAATGGTACAAGCTACATACCACCTGTGGGTGGCATGGGTTAATTGATATACCAATCCGAAATGTATATGGTCCAAATTTGTCTGATAACAAAAGAATTTGCTGTGTATGTATAGGTCTAACTAATGAACAAAAGCCAAACAATCAAATGATAATAGAACATGTCGTGACGTACAATAATCGTAAACTATATGGGGAATAATCAAGGTCATCAATCTCGACGAAAAACCAACCCAACAAAGGAAGCATCGAGACAGCATCGAGACAGCAAGCACGTGCTTCCATCACCAAGGTCAACGCACTTCAGGTGTCTTTTCCCGATCACTAACTCACGGTATTTCCCAAGCATGTCGCCCTTTGTTTCCCATTATTTTTGTCTTCCCAAATCCCATTCCTTACAGATCGCCTCCATGGATAGCATCTTCATCGCCTCCAGTCGCATTTTCGACCTGTGGCGTAGCAGAGGCAGAATCAACAGACTGGGCGACAATAGATGAAGATGACTGAGTAGCGTCATCAATTGCGGACTCAACAGACGAGAAGGCATCATCGATAGCTTCTCGGGCAGCTTCCACCTGCTTAGCGCCAAGCGCACTACCGGAGGCAATAGCGGCCGATGCAGCAGAAGTTGCCTTTTCATAAACAACGCTAGTCGCAGATTGGATCTTCTCGCTTGCGTTTTCCATTGCGTCATTTATATCGGGTCTGTTCTCCGCGGGGGCAGCCGAAGAAGACGGAACAGCTGCTCCGTAAATAGCGTGAAGCTTGTTCAAAACATCGTCCGACAAAGACGAACCTTTGTCTGCAAGAAGTTTAGAGATCAATGCTTCTACCTCGTCGTGTGGTACGGCGGTAGAGCTGGAAGGCTGGGCATCGGTCGACTGTGATGTGGTCTCGCTGGCGGCTTTGGTGGTTTCAGCACGGTCGTTGTCGGCCTGGCTAGCAGCGTCGGGGACTTCATGATCTTGACGTTGGTCAGGAATGGGTTCGGCATTCGCTCCCCATGCAACTTTCGGGGAGTCATCTTCCGTTTGGTGAGGGGAGGCTCCAACGGTCTCCTCAGTATCGTAACGGGTGTCTTGTTCGTCACCATCTAAGGGTGCGTCGTCGAATCCCAGTTCTTCTTGATCATCTGTATGATGATCAGTTTCGTCTGCAGTCACGGTTGTGTGAGACCCCTGCTCGTCGGCATCGGTAGGATCCTGTCGGTTCTCCTCGCCTGCAACAGATTCGTCATCTTCGGCGAGTTGTTCAGACTCGATGATCGGCTGCGGTCGTGGTGGCGGGGAGCCAGAGCGCGTTTCGAAATCATCATTCACTTCGCGCGCAGCTATTTTCCACTTCCCAACTTCCTTCAGTCGGGCCAGCTCTTTCGCGGCAGCTTCAGCGGTATCCATTCCGTAGGACAGGATCTCGTCCGCCAAAGACCTGAGCTCTTCAAGCTTGCTATTCTGCAAACCGGCAGTATTGAATTCGTCCTTCCAATCCTCAAACCGCGTTTTCAAGGCATGATATCTGGCCCAATCTTTGTAGGTAACCTCATCCATGGACGCCCAACGGATGCCAATTTCCTGAAGGCCAACATCCCGAACACTGTCTAGAACATTGAGGGTGGATTTGACGATAGTAGATACCCGTCCCACCAGCTCCTGGTCGAAGGATCTGTGCCATTCTCGGAGAGCATGCGCATGGTCCCGGATAGTAATCGCTGCCTCTCTAATATCCTTTGCGAACTCCTCCTGCGCCACTTCCTCCTCCGCTGGGGCGTCCTCGAAGGGAAGGGATCCGGCCAATTCGTTCATGCGGCCCTTGGCAGCAGTCAGTTCGCTCTCGATGGTGGTGTTCAAAGCGGTGGCAAGACTCTCGCCAAAAGCCTTCGCATCGCTCTTCGTGTATTCTTCGACAAGATTCTCAACCTGATCCGCAAGATCTTTGGCTCCCTGGTCAGCGGCGACAATGAATCTCTCTTGCCACGTGGAGATATCGGAGTCGATCCGGGCACGAGCGTCGGCAGCCTTTTCTTCGGGTGACCAAGAGTGCGCTGGCGGTGTAATCGGTGTTGAAGAGGGTGTGGCCGATGCTACATATTGACTTGTTTCTATTGACGTGGGTGTGGTAGAACCCGTGGGATCAGAGGAGCTATGTTTGCCCAAGTTAGTCAACTGAGAATAACCTAACGTGCTACACACTATTATTTACCTGTCAGCTCCACCCACGACACTCCGCAGTGGCTTGCCCTCTCGGTAGATCGCGAGACGCTGCCCAATTTTGACCAGCTGAGGCTCCACATTCTCAGAATAGAGACCAGCAATTCTTGGCCACAGTTCGCGATTTGCCAAGTAAATGGCCGACGACCACGTGCTTTGCGCATATGGGAGTACGCTAGTCGTCAAAATATCTTGGCCGGAGGTGTAGGTCTTCCCGATAAAAGGCCTAGAGTGTGCGTAAAAGGGTACAATATACTGGTCACACACCGAGCGAACTGCGGAGTTGGCCTTCTGACGGTAGGGTGAGATCAAAGCCGTTACATGATCAGCATGCGGTGCCACATGCGCCTGATACAAGGCGCTCGCGCTGCCTTTGGCAGAGTGTATGTGAGGAACAACCTGCGCCTCCCATTGCTGCTTGCCATAAGCTTGTGCTTGGTGCAACGCCGGAGCTCCATATTCATCATAGCTCGTTTTGGCAACACTCGCCGCAGGGACATAAATCTTGTCATGGGCTACTTGAACGTATGGCCGGGCCGTATCAACGTAAGGCGCTGCGTAGGCATTGTAGTAAGGTAGGACATGCGGTTCGATATGGGAGCGAGCGATAAGGTATGGCTGGCAAACGCGCGGGGAGAATCCGTCCAATTCGGATAGTTTTGACGGACACCGAAAAAAAGGCGTGAGAAGAGCATACCAGATGCAAAGTCTGTTTCGTGCCAGTGTTAGGTAGAATGCGCCAGGTAGGATTTAAAAAAAAAAGGAAACCAAAAAAACAAAGGAAAGGAAAAAAGAAAAGAGGATAGATGCAGGAGTCCAAAGCATACCGCACAACCAAACCGACAGTCCATCGGACGGGGTTTGTCCTTCTAGAATTCACGCGAGGATTGCCATTTCCAACTGCTTTATCGATGCCATCCGAGGCATTACCACTATCGGCGTTTGCCATACTGGTAGGGATTTTTCTCCGCTGGGACACTGCCTGTGTGATGATTCAACCAGTGGAGTATCTGGCTCGTGTCGCGTGACCAACCTAGTTGATTACCGAGCTATACAAACATAAACCTGACCCTAGATATTTAGGTCATCGCAAGGAAACGGACAATAATAAAAACCAAAGCTTGGGCTTGCAAAGAACTGAGATAGAAAGCAAAGAGAAAAGAGCAAAACTCTCAAGGGGCTCGCGCGACACCCCAAGTCTTGGCGTATCTCCAGCTAGTGAGCAACACGGGCAAAGAGGACAGAGGAGCCGAGGGACAGCGAGCAGCTGGGAAGAGAGAGAGCTTGTTCTGAAGCTTGCAATCCAGAGAGAGGGTATGAGACGGATATTATAACTTGACAGGATTGAGGTCAAGTCGTCCCAACTCAATGCGCAAGGGCAAGTTCTAATTCATTTGGTGAGGTCATTGTACTTGTGGCGTCCGATGGGCCTGACGATGCATTACACGCATGATGATGTATTGTCGACTACGATCTGTATTATTGTGTATTATTGGTGAGTGGCGGCGGTAAGCTGCGGTAATCTCACGTGATCGCCGATGATACTGGAGAGCGGTCAGCCTCGATCAGTCAGCAGGTTCTCGGATCGTTCTGTCTGCATCGAGCTTCTGGATCGTTGTTGTTGGGGACAGTTTGCTGCTCTACTTTCTCCCTCGCATCCTAGATCAAGGTTGATCTTACTGGACACATATCAGCCTTTGGGAGGTACAGGCACAGGTGGATTTCCATCTTCTTGACTCAACGCGCCCTTCTGATCTACTACATAACGGCCCTACGACCATGATACCAACCTAGTCCCCCCCAAATACTATGATGATCGATTCGTCGACGACGTCGAACACTGTCGAAAGAAAACCATGGACGACTACACAGGACACGAATCTTTCGGTGGCGCGGCGCCATTTCCCGATCTCATGAACGATCCGGCCTACGAGACCAACCATAAGGGAAAGGAGAGGGAGCTGGAAGAGCCCGACACCTGTCGAATATGCCGCGGGGAAGGTACTGAGGATGAACAACTCTTCTACCCCTGCAAATGCAGCGGTAGCATCAAGTTCGTTCACCAGGCTTGTCTGGTGGAATGGCTTTCTCACTCGCAGAAGAAACACTGTGAGCTATGCAAGACTCCATTCAGATTCACCAAGCTATACGACCCCAACATGCCTCAGAGAGTTCCAACCCCGCTCTTCGCGAAACAGCTTCTGGTACATGGCTTCCGTACGGTGGTAACCTGGTTGCGGTTTGTCCTCGTTGCCTTCGTCTGGCTTGGGTGGCTTCCGTGGTCAATGAGAGCTATTTGGAGGGCCCTGTTTTGGCTGGCAGACGGCCGCTGGTCTGGTGGGGATAGCCCTCAACAAGGGTCGCCTCAGGCCCGCCTAGCTCAACTTGCATCGAATGGTACTGCTTCTATGTCTGCGGTCGTGTCCTCCACCAGCTCCATGGCCTCGGCGTCTTCCGCGGCTGCTGCGGCGCAAGGACAGTCTTTGCAGTCACCCATATCATCGATGTTTGACTTCTCTTCCGCCTCTGGGGAACCATTAGTTCTTATTCTCATGAAGAAGGCCTTTTGGACTTTATTCTTCCCTGCAATGTCGTCTACAGGAGTAAGCTCTACGGGCCCGGGGTCCGCGAATATGACGTCAGGGCCTACGAAACAGCGGCGACCCTCGTGGCTTTCGGACGTGAAGTTTCTGAATACCTTGACGCCATCTCCTACGATCAACAATATCTTAATAGACACCTTAGAGGGTCAACTGATCACTCTGCTTGTTGTCATCTCTTTCATTCTAATCTTCCTCATCCGGGAATGGGTGGTCCAACAGCAACCGATGGCAAATATCGCAGACGGTGAGCGAGAGGCGGCCGTTCAGTTGATCGCGAATAATCGTCCGAACAATCCCCCGGTGCCTGACGAGCGGGAGCCCTTGTTCCGAGGGCCTGAGCAACGCCAAGGACCCGGGGGTCGTGAGGATCCAGTACGCGATGAAATGACCCATGAGCATGTCGAAGACATTGCCGATCGTCAAAGCACCCTCATGCCAGATTTGAGACGCAGATCAAGCTCGGATTTTGGAAACCCATTTGCTCGGGAAGACCTTGCGAATGTTGTTGACGGTCAGGATACATATGACAATGCTGGGCCGACTCCGTCTGGACACAATGATGGGAGCGACGACGAAGCAGATTACGATATCACGGATGCGCAGCCTTCGGTTCGGCCCAGCAAGGCTTCGCCAGGTGTGGAGGCTTTCAGGGACCTTTGGACGCGTGCAAATGGTGATCCCGAACAAGTCCTAAATATCATACGGGAAGAAGGCCTTCGAGATGAACTGGGTTGGATTGAGACCGAAATGACAAAACTTCGGGGAACCGACACTGCTTCCGGCTCCACGGGTTTTGAGCAGAGTCTTCCCGATACTGCACATACACATCACTTTCCCGGTCCCCAGCCCCTGCCTGCTTCGCGACCTTGGGATATCGAAAGACCCTCCAATCCGTTCGCTCGGGACATAATACCGGGAGAATTGGAAGACCGCGCTGGCTTTCATTACGCCCCATCCACAGAAAGGACTGCAGGGGAACAAGGCGAGGTCGAAGAACCTCCTGCTGCCGTACTACCGGCCTACGAGGACCCCAGTCCGGCTGTGACTTCGACAGGTACAGATTACAGACCAGACGCTGGCTTGGGATCGTCTGAAAGCGGAAATAACACAGCACATTCTGACGCTCTAATCGCCGCTCCGCCCGGAAATTTGGCCACGAAGACTCTTGACTGGTTCTGGGGCGACATCACACCCGATCATTTATCTGATGACGACTCGTCAGATGATGGCTCTGCGCTGGAAGACCATTCTGACATTGCGGTCTCCGACGACGAGCAGGATAATCAAGCATTCGCCGCTGAGCTCGGTGTTGATGCGAACGATCTTGATGCTCTCGATGAAGGTGATGATATGGAAGGTGTCCTTGAACTGATTGGCATGCAAGGACCCATTTTCGGTCTCTTGCAGAATGGCGTGTTTAGTGCTCTCATTATCTCGTTCACCGTGGCCATCGGAATTTGGCTGCCCTATCTATGGGGGAAAATTGCACTCGTTCTCCTGGCCAACCCCATACAGTTGGTGTTCGGTGTTCCCATGACTGCTGTGTCCGTTATCGCAGACATTACACTAGACACACTCATTGGGAGCTTGGGATACGTCATGTACTCAATTAGCCTGATTTGCAAACTGCTATTGAAACCATTCGGTACCCTGATTCCTCTGGCTGACTGGATGCCCCATACCAAGTCCGTGACCAGCGCTTCGCTGTCTCTCATTGACGCGAGTAGCCACAGGCTGAGGAACGTGGTCAGTGCATTCTTTGTATTCCACGAGTCGGACGTTCCAATGTTTTCTGTTCTGTCTCACCAAGCTTTGAAACTCCACGAGGCGCGGATAGCCACTGTTTTCCGGTCAGTCTTTCTGCTTGGCAAACTGTTGCTGCACGATATTCCTCTTCAGATCCTCTCCCGTGGGGCTACGGGGTATCTCTCATCGGATCACACTATTGAAGGTGTTGTCAGTGTTCTGGCTCAAGCCCGAGACCAAGTTTCTGAGTTCTGCAGCCAGTTGCTGCATTTCGCAAGCAACACTAAGTGGTATGGCGTGGGTGTCACTGGAGCGACTTCAACGAACGTCACTCTCGACTATGATTTGGCGGTATGGGACACGAAGGACCGTATTATTGCCATTGTTATGGGTTATGTTCTCGCTTCCGCTTTGGGCCTTTTTTATCTTCGGATTACAGGTCTGTTTTCCGGTGTGGAGCGTGGGCAGAGGGCCGAAGGTGTCGTTGCGGAAATCCTCCACCAATCCGGCGGAGTGATGAAAGTGATCCTCATCATCGGTATTGAGATGATAGTGTTCCCATTGTACTGTGGATCACTGCTCGACGTCGCACTTCTGCCCTTGTTTGATCAGGCCAGTATTGCATCGCGCCTTGAATTTACATCAACGGCTCCTTTAACCTCGCTTTTCGTCCACTGGTTCATCGGTACATGCTACATGTTCCATTTCGCTCTGTTCGTGTCCATGTGCCGGAAGATTCTGCGGAGCGGTGTGCTGTGTAAGTCCTCTCCCCGACCCCATCCCAACCCCAGCGTATCCGCCAGGCGTTAATGCAATGATAGATTTTATTCGCGATCCCGATGATCCGACTTTCCACCCTGTGCGCGATGTCTTGGAACGGAACATCACCACGCAGTTGCGCAAGATTGCCTTCAGTGCCCTTGTCTATGGTGCTTTAGTCATCGTCTGCCTCGGAGGTGTTGTTTGGGGCTTACATTACGGATTCAATGGCGTCCTTCCTATTCATTGGTCTGCTACCATCCCCGTTCTCGAATTTCCGGTCGACCTACTATTCTACAACTTCGTCATGCCTTTTGCAATCCGGTCGCTCAAACCTTCGGATGGCTTGCATAGCCTTTATGACTGGTGGTTCCACAGGTGTGCTCGTTTCTTACGATTGACGAGCTTCTTTTTCGGTGAAAGACAACCGGACGAGGAGGGTCACCACGTGCGACGCACATGGGGTGATGTCCTTCTCAGGACTAAAGGCGACAGTCAGCGGCCGCTAGCAGGCCCAGATCATCAGCGTCGTGCTGCCGAGCTCAACATCAGTACGTACTTCGTGCCAGACGGAAAATTGGTCAGAGCGCCAGCGTCTGATCAAGTCCGCATCCCGAAGGGGAACCCCGTATTCGTACCGGTTTCTGAGGACAATCAGAGGCTTGACGGAGTCCGGGATCAACTCTGGCCCGGCCAATTCACCAAAGTTTACATTCCTCCCCATTTCCGATCCCGCATCGCAGCGTTCATCCTCCTGATCTGGGTATTTGCGGCCGCCACTGGCGTAGGCACCACCGTTATTCCCATGGTCATTGGGCGGAAGATTATGTCCGCCTATTTTCCCCATCGGCCGCTCAATGACATTTATGCCTTCTCTACGGGCATATGTTTGGTTGGCAGTGCTGCCTATCTTGCGGTGTACCGCCAGACCTGTTTCGCTACCGTGAGGCGTTATCTGCGTCCGTATCTCCAATCTCCCCGTCAGGCACTGGTTGGATTGGTGTCTGCTGTCGTGGGTGTTCTCCGGTTTGCCTATGTCGTGGGTGCGTTTTCGATCCTGTTGCCCTCCGTCTTCGCGCTGGTCATGGAACTCTATGTGCTGGTTCCCATCCACACGTACTCCAGTGGCGTCCAGGCGCATGTGATCCATTTTGTGCAGGATTGGACGCTTGGGGTGCTCTATGTCCAGATGGCCATCAAGTTCATTCTCTGGCGCTCCGCCTCTCGGCCGGCCACCGCATTGAAAAACATCTTCCGCAAAGGATGGATCAAACCAGATGCCCAACTGGCCACGCGGGCCTTGCTGCTTCCCATCATGCTTCTCGCTATCATCGCGGTGGCTGTGCCACTTGTGTTTGGGTTTGCAATCAACTCGACGGTGTGCGTCTCCAGCCCAGATCTGCACCCCAAGGTCTACCGGTACGCGTACCCGGTGACGTTATCCATGGCCGTCTTCATCTGGATGGCCTATCGCGCGCACCACCGAGTGGATACCTGGCGAGTCAACATCAGAGACGAAGTCTACCTGATCGGGGAGCGGTTGCATAATTTCCGCGAAAAACGGACTGCCGGTATGCCACGCCGGGTGACTACGGGGTGATGGTACCGGTGAGACCTGAGGAGGGAGGGGATAGACGAACTTGACGAATAGATGGGTGGATTTGGCTATTGATCCCATCCGCTGTAGTAATAGTCTTGACGTGTCTTCAGTTCTTGTAATCTTGCTTTCCTTTCCTTTCCTTTTTCTTCTCTCTTTCCTTTCTTTTATGATTCATGAATAGAACTTGGAGTATTGAAGACTGGTATTTTTGTGACGTAGTCAGGATGCATATCAAACCCTGTCCAGTGGCTGCCTGGCTGTGGGACCCTTTCGAGCAAGGTTTGGGAGATCAGTAGTATAAAGCCATCCACATCACAATAAACTACCGGTTAATGCTGCAGAGCACGGACCAGAGCGGGTGCGAATGGCGGCTGCCTGCCACGTGATATGTGGCTTGGCATGAGGCTTTGCCTTCACTCGCCACTCCCTATTGGTTAGGCAACAGAATTCCTGCCCACTTTCGATCTATTCTTATTCTTTCATCATCATCATCGCCTTCTTTCTCTTCGGATCTTATAGTTTTCGGTGTTATCACTCCTGAGTTGTGTCCCATTTTCACCTGAGATCTTTGAACATGGGTGGTGTATGGTCAGTCCGTGCCTGAGGTATTCCTGTGAATCGCTCCTCCACCCCCACTTCAATCCTCCCATCACCACCGTCACCCCAACTGCGCCAAGATGTCCGTTCTCCGCCATGGGGGAGGTTTCCTCCAGCGGCGTCTGACCAAAATGTATACCGATACAAAGACCTCCTGTGAGAGTGTCACTACGGCGTCCAAGGCGGTCGACGACCCGGAACTCGTCGCGTTGCATCGGAGCTTCCGAACCCAGCGCGATCGACTCCTCGCATGGGGTTTGGACTGGAGTGACGCCAGCGCCGCTCAGCCGCATGATATCGACGAGTCTCTAACCCAAGCTGGCTATAGCGACGTGGTCGCTAGCGTCATGTCGAGTATCCAAGAACAACTCAATGAAGCGGAGCGTCTCCAGCACACGGGAGCCTCGGGCTTGCCCCCGAAAGGCGCCGGAGCGGACACTGCATCCAAGGATGTACTCAGCAGTCTGCCCACAAAGACTCACTGGACGGACGACGACATCAACCACTCCAAGTCGATCCTCGCGGATTTGACGGCCTGTATCGACACCCTTTATGATCTCTCGAGCTCGCGCCGGAGTGCGCATGGCGCCCAGGCGGCCGCGAGAAGTCGATCGTGGGCGGACGAAACAGGCCACTCGGACTTCAAGCACCGGCGCCCATCCCATCAGGACAGCTTTGACTACTCGCCCTTTTCGGAGAAATCTGGATTGCATTCGCCCGGCATCGACCCGGCCAAATTCAAAATGGCGTCCATGAATTACATCATCGATCGCTCAGCCTTGCAACTGTCTGGCGCATCCCACGATAACAATCCACCCCCTTATGAAATGGTCGCGGCGTCTTCAAACTCCCGGGCCATTGGTCGTATGAGCACCGCGGCTTCTCCTCTTCTGAGCGGCACGAAGGATGCCACTGCGACTATCTTGGTTGAGTTCACGCCGATGATGCTCGAGACTTCTGGAAGCTACACCGCTCCCGTGAACAAGCGGCTGGATCGGGTGCAGCAGACTCTAGATCAACTCGTGCAAAATTCCCGGGTGTCTCATTTAGGCCTATTGAGGTTCCTGGGCTACTATGTCGACATGGCGAATTCCCGCTACGCTTTTATCTATCAGATGCCCATCGATTACTTCCCTTTTCTCCGAAATCCTACAGATCTTCTGAAGGGTTTGAAGCCCAAGCCTCTGGTTTCTCTCTTTCAAGTTGGCGACGACTATCAAGTCCCGACTTTGGAGACCCGATTCCGACTAGCTTACGACCTTTTGATGGCGGTCTTACAACTAAGGAGTCAGAACCTGGTTCATGGGAACATCAACAGCAGCAACGTCCTGATCTTTCCTGGCTTGACGAATACGAACAGCGACGAAGTAGGTCTCACAGAGAACCTGCGGCGTCCCTACCTGACTTCGTTCGCTCAATTTCCCGGCAACGGCCCAACGCCGGAACCCTTGTCATCAAGCATGTATCGTCACCCTGATGATAGGAGGCTGATCGATGATGACGCATCCTGGGCCTTTGATCTCTATTCGCTGGGTCTTGTGCTTCTCGAGATCGGACTGTGGACGCCCATCAGCCGTCTCTGGAAAATGAAGTACAACATGTCCATGTTCAAACAGAGGATCGAGAATGTCTATCTGCAGAAATTGGGTCCCAAGTGTGGCAGCGCATACCTCCATGTGGTCCAGTTATGTCTCGATGCGCCCAACTTTCACCTTTCGACTCAACCGTTCGATGATTTCAACCTCAGAATTCCCCAGACCTACCACTACCCAGTTTTGGACCTTTCGGAGCCGGATAGTATCTTTACTTTCTCCATGAACTTCATCTACACGATGTCTAAAATCGTCTGGTCTTGTTGTCGGATTGACATCTTTTCGGCCCCCGGTGCCGAGGAATTGGACGATTGTCTTCCGCTCGCGCTAGTTCCCAAGCAGGATTCCTCTGGTCCGAAGGAGCCTGCCCGAGAGTATATTCCTGCGCCGATTCACACGCAGACTGTCCCCGTGGAGGATCCATACTCGGCTATCCCTACGTCGGAGATGAAGGCTCTCAGGGAAAAGATGGGCGCCTTTGAACCCGGGAGGGTGAGGAAGAGGACTTTCAAGAAGCTCACCAACGTCGAGATCCCCCAGGCACACCTCAACGAGTGGAATTTCCACATGATGCCCCGGTTGAGAAAGCTTCTCCAGAAGATCTTGAAAGATTCATCCGAGTCCTGCGGTGTTACTCTGATGATGACCGGAGAGTCCGTTGACAATGCCAGGACGACGATCTGTGTGACCTGTTGCAGCGCCAAGAAAGTCCGCGCAGCGCTCAAGAAATACTTTGTGCTCGACCGCGATGATTGGGATATGTTAGTTCTCCGAGGAGACATCCAACGGTCAAAAGTCCCACGCAAGAAGCGCCGCAAGCCGGCAAAACCCGGGCCTGGGAATGACACGACTTCCACCGCATACCATGATCCGAATCCATGCTATCAACAACGGCCGCTGTGCGGCGCATCAATTGGTGCTTTCCTCAACGAGGAGCATCTTCCTCCGGTGACTTACGGCGGCTCGGTTCTCGTGGATGGCACGCCATACGGAATGACCGTCCACCACATGTTGGAGTCACCCAGTGACCAAGAGGACGCCGATGAACAAGAAGTTGACCCCGGTCCTCACCGGTCTGCGGGAAACTGGCCCCAGGGGTCGGTGGCCCAAGACCCAGAGTTCATGTACAGCTGGTGTGATGACGACCCGTCCGAGATTGACCTCGAGTTCGAAGTTTCTGAAGATGAAGACCGAGATGATATCTCTATCTCGCAGAGCCTGGAAGGCAATTATGACGACTTTACACTTTCGGACGACGGTTATTCCTCAGAAGAGGATGGTATGCGCGAGTATGAGGATGAAGACTCAGCCTCGATCGGCGACACGGCTGGCATTGAGCCGGGTGATGAACCTCCCTTGTTTGTTACGCAGCCCGCAATCGACGATGTAGACGAAAATTTCTTCCCGTGTCCTGAAGACCGCGACGACGAGCACCTCGCCTCTCACTCCTTTGGATATGTGCATGCCTCATCGGGCGTCAGACGCTGGACGAGGAAAGGACTCAGACACGAGATTGACTGGGCGTTGATCAAAATCAACGAGGATCGAACCGACGCGCGCAACGTCGTGTACGAGAACCAGACACGGTTTGCACGCAGACCCGGCGAACAGGGATCATCGATGTCGCAGAGACAGCCGATCTACCTCAACGACATCGCCCGTCTGGAAGACCTAGGCGGCCTCCAGGTCCACAGCTGCGGGCGGACCACGGGGTTGCAATCCGGGCAGATATCCAAAGCCATGACAATCGTCAAGCTTCGCGGACGGCACACCTTCTCAACGAGCTTCTGCGTGGACGGGAATTTCGGAAGTGAGTCCACACCCCAACCCCAACCTGCTCAGCTTGGATCCCACGGCTAACACCGCCCAGTCCCCGGTGACTCCGGAGCATGGGTCTTCGAAAGGTCCACCGGTCGAGTCTGCGGGCACGTTCTCGCGTGGTCCGAAAAGACCCACACAGCCTACATCGCCCCGATGGAGATCCTCCTACAAGACATCGCCCGCACGCTCAACGCCTCCTACGTCTCCCTCCCCGGCCACCCAGACGAATCCCTTGCCTACGCCATGTCGCAGCATCCCCATCCTCATCCCCATCCTCACCATCCATACTTCGACCCCCACAACCCGCGCTACCGCGCCCCACCGCCCCTCCCAGATCGCATCCCCGTCGACATCAGTCCCCTGCGCATCGACGACCCCGCAGCAAACATGGGCCCCGTCCACACCAGCCGCGGCCTGCGCGAAGCCTCCTCTCCCTACCGGAGCATGCCACCGATATTGACTCCGCCTCGCAGTCTGGAAAGACAACTTGCGTAGGCTGGATCTGCTACTATCTTTCTCTTGATTTTCCATTCCATGTTACGATACCACATTATACCCCCTTTTTTTTACCTTACAAATCTTTCCCTCCTGCTACTGCTCTGCTACTCTGTTGCACGGTTTCTTACGATTGAGATGAATGTCCGGGAAACAAGACAGTGCATGGAATAATGAATACCCCTTCTGTGCGTCTTTGTTTTGGTTTGCTTTGCCCAGTATCTTGTGTCGCTGCCCTGGGGTTATAATACAGCCATTATTATCCTGTCACTACCTACAACCATAGCTACCTCCGGGCTGCTCTTGATCTGCGTGGTTTTCATCTGTCAACAAACAAACAAATAAATCAAATAATTAACAACTGTACCATATCTTCACATTAACAGCCCCCTCCCACAAAATTTAGCATTCTTCCCCGTAGGCACCCTGGGTCACTGCAGCTTGTACCAACGCGCTAAGGGGACTGTAGCCAATCAACTCACAGGAGATAACGGAGTTAAGCCTTGAATCCGATGACCTGAGCTATACTTAGTGCAAAATGCCTCAATGAGTCAATACACATCAGGTGACCCACTATCATCGGCCCCATATATAGGCACGGGTCTCCCCGATCCCCCCCCCCGCCCGATCCACTCGTCCCAAATTTCCCTACTGGAGATTTCCACTTCTGTCTTTATCGCGTCGGAATCTCATTCACCAAGACCGTTGCAATGGCCGCTCAAGCTGCCGTCCCCCCGCTCACCAAGAGCAAGCCAGAGGGCGTCGACCTCTATGCTCGTTTCGCTCTTGCCGGCGCATTGGGCTGCTCCGTCACCCACGGCGCCTTCACGCCGGTCGACGTGTACGTATCCTGAATTCTAGTAAACCCATACTCAGTTTACTCGGAGGGTGAACATTCCCGCCCCCCGATTAACCCCGACTTCACCCACTAAATCATATGATTTTTCCCAAACAGCGTCAAGACCAGGATCCAGCTTGACCCAGCAACCTACAACCGCGGCATGATCGCCGGCTTCCGCAAGGTCATCCAAAGCGAGGGCGTCAGCGCTCTCGCAACAGGCTTCGGCCCGACATTCGCAGGCTACTTCATGCAAGGCGCCTTCAAATTCGGAGGATACGAGTTCTTCCAGAAGAAGATTAGTGAGAGCCTTGGCGGAGAGACGGCCAGAAACAACCGCACCGCGGTGTACATGGTCTCTGCGGGTTCGGCGGAGTTCTTCGCGTCGATTGCCCTGTGTCCCCTGGAGGCAACCCGGATTCGCCTCGTCTCGACGCCTGGGTTCGCGAATGGCCTTGTTGGTGGGTTTGGGAAAATTCTGAAGAATGAGGGGATTGGGGCGTTTTATTCTGGTTTTGGGCCTATTCTTTTCAAGCAGTATGTTCATCCAATTCGACTCTCCACCGTTTCATGATTGGAAAGCTCAAATTAACCCACGAGCAGAATCCCCTACACAATCACCAAATTCGTCGCCTTCGAAAAAGTCTCCGAAGCAATCCTAAGCCAATTCGACAAGTCCCAGATGTCCGCTGGCGCCTCAACAGCCGTGAACCTGGGATCCGGTCTGCTCGGCGGTTTCGCCGCCGCCATCGTGTCCCAGCCCGCCGATACCATGCTGTCCAATATCAACAAGACCAAGGGTCTACCCGGCGAGAGCACCGTCTCTCGACTGGTCAAGATCGGTAAGGAGCTTGGCGTGCGTGGATCTTTCGCTGGTCTCCCGACCCGTTTGTTCATGGTTGGTGGCCTCACTGCGGGCCAGTTTGCCATTTATGGCGATATTAAGAAGCTTCTTGGTGAGTACTTCTGTTTGTTTGCTCTGGTCGAATGGGCATTAAACTGACTTTGGCTACAGGTGCTACCCAATAGAAAACACTAGACATCATATTCAGCGTTGTATAGTTTAGATCAAGCGCTATGTCTCAGCTACTATATAGACTCGGTCGAATCAATTGTATCTACCTGCCTGCTTTTCTGTACATGAGAATAACAATTTAGAGCAAATTTGACTCAACCCGCTCAAACCAGCCTCGCAAGGATTCCTTACATGACAAGCGTATTTTCACTTTTCGAATCTCCATTCAAAGCGGTCCACCGATCGGTGCTCGGGTTAGGGGCAGGCCGTAGGGTTCAGTTCCTCCGCCGAGCTAAACCGAACTACAGTATGGGACTGTACTTCACAGCTGTCTATAGGCTAGGTGTTAATGAAAACTATGCCTTGTCATGTTGTCAGTCTTATGTTTTATTCCCCCTCGCTTACTCTTTCAGCCTCGTTCCTTTCATGGAATATAGTGCGACGTGATGTGGGAAGAAAGTACATACCCCTAACCAGCTGTAGTCCAAAGAAATCGTACCTAATCATGAATTTTCGGACCGCGAGCGATCCAAGTACATACAGTAATACAAGCCGTGGACCCTCGCTTCGCTCGGCGGCTTGATGACGTGGCTGAAAATACTTCTTAATTATTCTATAAAGTCAATGATTATTTACTATATTATATTCTCTATAAGCAGCCCCCCCCCCCCCCCCCTTCGCCCTGTAGAGCTCCTAAAAGCCCCCGCGTAGAGCTCCTGAAAGTAGTCACGTAGAGCTCTAAAAAGCACCCGCGTAGCCCCCCCGAAAGCAGCCATGTAAGCCCCCGAAAAGTACCCGCAAGCATCCACGTAGACCCCCCGAAAGCACCCGCGGAGCCCCCTGAAAGTACCCGTGTAGGCCCCCTGAAAGTAGCTATATAGAACCTCTAAAAGCACCCGCGGAGATTAGAGTTTAGAATATAAGGCGGAGTAACAGGGCAGAATCAGACAAATTAGTAAGCACCCGAGCCAAGCTAAACCCAAAAAGGGAATTCTACGCAGAAGTCTGTAGTTTTTTCATATTTCCTTATGATATTAGAGATATAGTATACAGTAATATATAGTATACAAGTGTCGCTGATCACCTTAAGTGGGGTTGAGGGTCGCTGATCCTATTAGAGCCCCTCCGGCTGTGCCTCCGACGCTGTCCCTGAGGATAAGTTGTGACTATCTGACTGTATTGTATTGTTTAGCGACGGTGTATATTGGAATATAAAGTTGATGTCTGGCTCTATTGGTTTGCGTGGGATTGCTCCTTGGAGTTGGGGGGAAACGTCTATCATAACCATGATATGAAAGATAGAGAGAGGGGGAGAGAGAGAGAGAGAGAGAGAGATGGACCAGTCAATCTGATAGGAAATAGTTGATTTTGATTTATTCAATGCTCAAAAATATCTCACACCGCGCATGCAACCATTTATTTACCCACCCAGTGAAACAAGGAGTAAAAAGTAAAGTAGAGTAAAGTAAAATAAGATAAATAAAATAAAATGAAAATAGATATCTAACATGAACATATCCCCAACACCTACATAAACCACATAACATACTGAGTATGCATAGTCGTTATATGTCTATCTATAAAACTCATTCAATCAAGCTCAAGCCGAAGCAAGATACTTAAACACAGCCTCCCTCTCCTCAACAGGAAGCATACCCAGCACCTGCTGCACACCGCGGAGACCACCCTCCTTGTTCCCGATGAGCAGACGGGCGATCTCAGAAGCGACAGCGTCAGACTTCAGCGAGTCGACCTTCGCCTGGATGATCTTCTTGTTCTCCTCGTACCACATGGCGACGCGCTGGTCTTCGTGGTCGAGCTCGTCGTCGAGGAGGCCAGTCCAAGAGTGGAGCGTGCGGAGGTGGGTCTTGCGCGCGGACTCAGGCGCAGGGGGCAGGGAGTCTGGGTTGGCGGCGGGGACGGCGCCGCTGCGGTCGTGGGTAGCGGCGGGGTGGGCCTCCGCGGCGACCATGCGCTTGACGATGACTTCTTCGCTGAGACGGCGGCGCAGACGCCAGTAGAAGAAGCGACGGGCGTTCTTCCAGCTGATGGCCTGGCGGATGGTGTTCTTGGCTTTCATGCGGCCGGGGCGGTCGTGCAGGTCGGCGAATTGGAGCGCGATCTGCATGTAGACCGGGAGGAGGCGCTCCTCGCGGGCGGCCATCTTGATCTTGATGTCGGTGAGCTTCTCCTTGGGGAGAGACTGGTCTGCCAGGGCGCGGCGAAGCTCGCCGTACTCCGGGTCCAGGCGGGCCATGGTGTCCAGCTGCTTGTCCCGGCGGTACTTGATGTTGACGATACCCTCGGGCTCGAGGACACCGCCGCGGGCTTCGTCGTCGGCGTACATTTCCATCTGATCGGGGTTGATCGTGGGGTCGACGACGACCCAAGAGCCACCACGCAGTTCACCATAAGGCGGGATATAGACAAAGATCGGTTGCTCATACTTGACAAGCGCATCAACAATGTACGAACCATACTTGAGAACCTCCTGGAACATGTCACGCTGACCGCCAGAGAAACCTCTCCAGTTGGCCAGAATCATGACAGGAAGCTGCTCGCCGTTGTTGAAATCACGGAGCGCCTGGGCGGTCTTGAACGCCGAGTTGGGGTACCACACACCGCCAGCCTCGGTGTTGACGACCTCCGAAGAGTCAGGGTTAGCCGGGTCGGCGGGGGTGACGTTGTCGACGGTGCGGGTCTCGACGGCGATGACACCCATGGGGATGCCGCCCAGGCGGGCACGACCGACGACGACGGTACGGGCCCATCCGCCCAGGGCCTCTTCGAAGGATCCCACGTCGAAGAGACCGGGGAGGAAGCCTTCGTCGTCTTGCGCGCCGGCGATGAGGTGGCGAGGGTCGTAGCCTTGCTTGCTGGGCGGGTAGTAGGCCACGTCCCGGTCCCAGTTGTCGGACCACGGACGGATGGGGATGGGGGCGCCCTTCTTGTCGGGCACGAAGGACATCCACTCGACGATCTTCTGGACACCGTCGAAGTCGTCGTTGGCAGTCATGTGCGAGACACCGTTTCTGTACATGATCTGCGTGCCACCAAGCTGCAGGTTGGAGGTGTAGACCTCTCTGCCCAGCAGCTTGTTGATAGCCGGAGCGCCGGTCAGGATGATCGGCTGGCCCTCGACTTGGATGGACCGCTGACCAAGACGGACAAGGTACGCACCAATACCAACGGAACGGCAAGTGACCAGGGTGATGGTGAAGATGTCCTCGTACGCCTTGGACGTGGCACCGGCAATGAGACCCGAGCCCTTCAGACACTCAACACCCAGACCATCCTTGGCACCGATCACGGTGGTGATCTTGTGGCGCTCTTCGCCATCCTCAGTGATCGGCTCCGTGATCACCTCCTTCTTCTTGCCGGCATCAAGCTTCTTCTTCACCTCGGGAGTCAGGTAAAGGTACTTGAACCCAGCCTCGGGCCTGCCCGGATCGTTCCAGGCAACGGAGAAGAGCGGAAGGAGCTCGTCAGCCATTCCAATACGAGCACCAGAGTTGGCAGAGAGGTAGATGCGGGGAATGCCAAGCTTGCGCGCCAGCTCCGTACACTTGTTGAAGAACTTGTCCTCCAGGGGACCGAACGAACCGATCTGGAAAGTGATGTCGTTGGCGACGATAATGAAGCGTCGGCCGCGAGGGTACTCGGGCGTACGAGCAGTGACGATCCAACCAACCATGCCGTGAGTGTTGGTGCCGGGACCACGAGAGATCTCGACCAGATTGTCGGTATCATCCAGGACCAGTTCGCTGTAGTCGATGCACTCGCCAACAGGGGGGCGCTGATCGATCAACGACGGGATCTGCTCCAGCGACTTGGACCAGCTGTTCTGGAACGCCTGGCGGAAAAGCTCGGGGAAATCGTACACGTACTGGGTACCCATGATGTGGGCCTTGTAACGCTTGGGCTGCAGCCACTCCTTGGTAGGGTAGGGCGTCGTGACAGAGCGCAAGTGCATCGAGCCGAGCTTGTTGCTGCCGCCGATGCTCTGGAAGATCCATTCACCCTTCTCGGTTTTCTTCTCCACGTAGAGCTCCACCTGGATGATGAAACCGTACGTGTTGGTGATGATGACACGCAGAGGATAGGGCATGCCAGTGGCCGGGTCAGTGCACAGAATACGGATCTCAGCGCCGGTGACACGCAGACGCCACAGACGGCGACCAAAGCGGTCCAAGAAACCGGCCAGGGCCTGCTCCACGTCATGGGGCTGGAGGTTGAAAACGGGAGAGAAGTTGATGAAGATGTGGTTCAGATCGGAGTTGTTGTTTCCAATGATCTCCAGCGCATCCAAGATATCGGTCATGAGACGGTCGGCTTCAGAGATGAGGTACTCAGCCGTCGGGATATCATCACGCAGGCGACCGGGACGGACGACAGCCCGCACAAAGTACCGCTTATCCACAGCCTTGTCGTTCTCCGGACCCTTGCCAATAGCCTCGTAGACGTGGATGTTCCGGTTTTCGGTGAACACGGGGGTGATCTTGAACTTGGACAGACGTCCAAGCTCCAGCTGGAACGCCAGCGCCGGCTCGCTGTGACGAATGCTCTCATCTTCCTCGTAGGTGGGACCACGGAAGGTGTAGTAGCCGGGGTAGATTCCGTTCTTGCTGCAGATGAAGGTCACGCGGCGGACACGGCGAGCAAGGAGCTCACTCTTGAAGTTCTCAATCAACGCGGTGGCTTGCTTGACGATCTGCCCATCGTCGAGATCTTCGACGTCGCGAATGGCGACGTTCAGAACGCCAGTCAGCTCGTCGTCGTTCTCGACCTTAGGCGCCGGTCGTCGCTTGCCCTCCAGGTTAGCAAGGAGGGTGTGGTCACTGCCCTTCTTAGACTTGGCAACGGGGAAGCCCTCCAGGGCGCGGGTCAGGGCCTCGTCGGCATCCTCCAGATACTGGATGGGGACAATGACACCCTTCCGCACGGGGTCACCCGTGCTGTCGTTGACCAGGTGAGACAGCTCGCTGAAGGAGTTCATCCGCTTGAAAGGGTTGCT